CAGCTCTCATCTTATGTAACCTCAATACTGTAGTTTCTTCCATGGATATAGCTACTCACTGACAGGATATAGTCAGCTCTCATCGTATGTTACCTCAATACTGTAGTTTCTTCCATGGATATAGCTACTCCCCGACAGCATATAGTCAGCTCTCATCTTATGTTACCTCAATACTGTAGTTTCTTCCATGCATATAACTACTCACTGACAGCATATAGTCAGCTATCATCTTATGTTACCTCAATACTGTAGTTTCTTCCATGGATATAGCTACTCACTGACAGCATATAGTCAGCTCTCATCTTATGTAACCTCAATACTGTAGTTTCTTCCATGGATATAGCTACTCACTGACAGCATATAGTCAGCTCTCATCTTATGTAACCTCAATACTGTAGTTTCTTCTATGGATATAGCTACTCACTGACAGCATATAGTCAGCTCTCATCTTATGTAACCTCAATACTGTAGTTTCTTCCATGCATATAGCTACTCACTGACAGCATATAGTCAGCTATCATCTTATGTTACCTCAATACTGTAGTTTCTTACATGGATATAGCTACTCACTGACAGGATATAGTCAGCTCTCATCTTATGCTACCTCAATACTGTAGTTTCTTCCATGCATATAGCTACCCACTAACAGCACATAGTCAGCTCTCATCTTATGTAACCTCAATACTGTAGTTTCTTCCATGGATATAGCTACTCACTGACAGGATATAGTCAGCTCTCATCTTATGTAACCTCAATACTGTAGTTTCTTCCATGATATAGCTACTCACTGACAGCATATAGTCAGCTCTCATCTTATGTTAGCTCAATACTGTAGTTTCTTCTATGGATATAGCTACTCACTGACAGGATATAGTCAGCTCTCATCTTATGTTACCTCAATACTGTAGTTTCTTCCATGGATATAGCTACTCACTGACAGCATATAGTCAGCTCTCATCTTATGTTACCTCAATACTGTAGTTTCTTCCATGGATATAGCTACTCACTGACAGCATGTAGTCAGCTCTCATCTTATGTTACCTCAATACTGTAGTTTCTTCCATGGATATAGCTACTCACTGACAGCATATAGTCAGCTCTCATCTTATGTTACCTCAATACTGTAGTTTCTTCCATGGATATAGCTACTTACTGACAGCATATAGTCAGCTCTCATCTTATGCTACCTCAATACTGTAGTTTCTTCTATGGATATAGCTACTCACTGACAGCATATAGTCAGCTCTCATCTTAATTTACCTGAATACTGTAGTTTCTTCCATGCATATAGCTACTCACTGACAGCATATAGTCAGCTCTCATCTTATGTAACCTCAATACTGTAGTTTCTTCCATGCATATAGCTACTCACTGACAGCACATAGTCAGCTCTCATCTTATGTTACCTCAATACTGTAGTATCTTCCATGGATATAGCTACTCACTGACAGCATATAGTCAGCTCTCATCTTATGCTACCTCAATACTGTAGTTTCTTCCATGGATATAGCTACTCACTGACAGCATATAGTCAGCTCTCATCTTATGTAACCTCAATACTGTAGTTTCTTCCATGCATATAGCTACTCACTGACAGCACATAGTCAGCTCTCATCTCATGTTACCTCAATACTGTAGTTTCTTCCATGGATATAGCTACTCACTGACAGCATATAGTCAGCTCTCATCTTATGTTACCTCAATACTGTAGTTTCTTCCATGGATATAGCTACTCACTGACAGCATATAGTCAGCTCTCATCTTATGTTACCTCAATAGTTTCTTCCATGGATATAGCTACTCCCCGACAGCATATAGTCAGCTCTCATCTTATGCTACCTCAATACTGTAGTTTCTTCTATGGATATAGCTACTCACTGACAGCATATAGTCAGCTCTCATCTTAATTTACCTGAATACTGTAGTTTCTTCCATGCATATAGCTACTCACTGACAGCATATAGTCAGCTCTCATCTTATGTAACCTCAATACTGTAGTTTCTTCCATGCATATAGCTACTCACTGACAGCATATAGTCAGCTCTCATCTTATGCTACCTCAATACTGTAGTTTCTTCCATGCATATAGCTACTCACTGACAGCACATAGTCAGCTCTCATCTTATGTAACCTCAATACTGTAGTTTCTTCCATGGATATAGCTACTCACTGACAGCATATAGTCAGCTCTCATCTTATGTTACCTCAATAGTTTCTTCCATGGATATAGCTACTCACTGACAGCATATAGTCAGCTCTCATCTTATGCTACCTCAATACTGTAGTTTCTTCCATGGATATAGCTACTCACTCACAGCATATAGTCAGCTCTCATCTTATGTAACCTCAATACTGTAGTTTCTTCCATGCATATAGCTACTCACTGACAGCACATAGTCAGCTCTCATCTCATGTTACCTCAATACTGTAGTTTCTTCCATGGATATAGCTACTCACTGACAGCATATAGTCAGCTCTCATCTTATGTTACCTCAATACTGTAGTTTCTTCCATGGATATAGCTACTCACTGACAGCATATAGTCAGCTCTCATCTTATGTTACCTCAATAGTTTCTTCCATGGATATAGCTACTCCCCGACAGCATATAGTCAGCTCTCATCTTATGCTACCTCAATACTGTAGTTTCTTCTATGGATATAGCTACTCACTGACAGCATATAGTCAGCTCTCATCTTAATTTACCTGAATACTGTAGTTTCTTCCATGCATATAGCTACTCACTGACAGCATATAGTCAGCTCTCATCTTATGTAACCTCAATACTGTAGTTTCTTCCATGCATATAGCTACTCACTGACAGCACATAGTCAGCTCTCATCTTATGTTACCTCAATACTGTAGTTTCTTCCATGGATATAGCTACTCACTCACAGCATAAAGTCAACTCTCATCTTATGTTACCTCAATACTGTAGTTTCTTCTATGGATATAGCTACTCACTCACAGCATAAAGTCAACTCTCATCTTATGTAACCTCAATACTGTAGTTTCTTCCATGGATATAGCTACTCACTCACAGCATAAAGTCAACTCTCATCTTATGTTACCTCAATACTGTAGTTTCTTCCATGGATATAGCTACTCACTCACAGCATAAAGTCAACTCTCATCTTATGTAACCTCAATACTGTAGTTTCTTCTATGGATATAGCTACTCACTCACAGCATAAAGTCAACTCTCATCTTATGTAACCTCAATACTGTAGTTTCTTCCATGGATATAGCTACTCACTCACAGCATAAAGTCAACTCTCATCTTATGTAACCTCAATACTGTAGTTTCTTCCATGGATATAGCTACTCACTCACAGCATAAAGTCAACTCTCATCTTATGTTACCTCAATACTGTAGTTTCTTCTATGGATATAGCTACTCACTGACAGCACATAGTCAGCTCTCATCTTATGCTACCTCAATACTGTAGTTTCTTCCATGGATATAGCTACTCACTGACAGCATATAGTCAGCTCTCATCTTATGCTACCTCAATACTGTAGTTTCTTCTATGGATATAGCTACTCACTGACAGCACATAGTCAGCTCTCATCTTATGTTACCGTAATAATTTCTACAACGGAAATAGCTACTCCCCGACAGCATATAGTCAGCTCTGATCTTAATTTACCTGAATAGTTTCTCACACATATATATGGCCTCAATCGTCAAGGGCTCCGCAGGTAGCGTCCCTCAACAAGGCGTGCCAGAAACCTGTCATCGTGGTTTCGAATCCAATATATTTTGTGTTCACTTAATTGTGTCTACAACTACCAGCATTGTCACCTGTCATTTTGTGTTGACTTAATAGTGTCAACAACTACCAGCATTGTCACCTGTCATTTTGTGTTGACTTAATAGTGTCTACAACTACCAGCATTGTCACCTGTCATTTTGTGTTGACTTAATAGTGTTTACAACTACCAGCATTGTCACCTGTCATTGTGTGTTCACTTAATTATGTCTACAACTACCAGCATTGTCACAATTCATTTTGTGTTCACTTAATAGTGTCTACAACTATCAGCATTGTCACAATTCATATTGTGTTAACTTAATAGTGTCTACAACTATCAGCATTGTTACCTCTCATTTTGTGTTGACTTAATAGTGTCGATAACTACCAGCATTGTCACCTCCCATTTTGTGTTCACTTAATAGTGTCTCCAACTACCAGCATTGTCACCAACCATTTTGTGTTGACTTAATAGTGTCAACAACTATCAGCATTGTTACCTCTCATTTTGTGTTGACTTAATAGTGTCGATAACTACGAGCATTGTCATAATTTACATAGTGGATATGCTTCCTCAATCGTCAAGGGCTTCGCAGGTAGCGTCCCTCAACAAGGCGTGCCAGAAACCTGTCATCGTGGTTTCGAGTCCAATATATTTTGTGTTCACTTAATTGTGTCTACAACTACCAGCATTGTCACCTCCCATTTTGTGTTCACTTAATAGTGTCTACAACTACCAGCATTGTCACCATACATTTTGTGTTCACTAAATAGTGTCGATAACTACCAGCATTGTCACCAATAATTTTGTGTTGACTGAATAGTGTCTACAACTACCAGCATTGTCACCAATAATTTTGTGTTCACTTAATAGTGTCTACAACTGCCAGCATTGTCACCAATAATTTTGTGTTCACTTAAACGTGTCTACAACTACCAGCATTGTCACCTCCCATTTTGTGTTCACTTAATAGTGTTTACAACTAACAGCATTGTCACCTCTCATTTTGTGTTCACTTAATAGTGTCTTCAACTACCAGCATTGTCACCTCTCATTTTGTGTTCACTTAATAGTGTCTACAACTACAAGCATTGTCACCTATCATTTTGTGTTCACTTAATAGTGTCTACAACTACCAGCATTGTCACCTCTCATTTTGTGTTAGCTTAATAGTTCCTTCAACGGACACGACTACGTACTGGCATCACAGTATTTTTATGCCTAATGCCGATGATTTATACTCACAGCCTGTACAAGTTGGATCTATTTTAGCATTAGCTGTTGTGGCCACGCTGTGTCTCTTGGCAGTTCCATCACAGGCTGTAGAGGAGCACGCCCAAAGGCAGTTCATCACTACTTTCAGAGAACTGTATCAAGTCACAAATACTTCAGCTAATACTCATGAATGAATTAATAGTCTTTCATCGGTTGAACTAATTTCTAAATTTGATCTTATCTGTCTACCATAAAACCAAAATGCTTTATTTGCCCGAACTTAATCACAGTGGTGTTTAATGTGTTAAAATATCATTTAAGAAATAATAACGTCATTTAATATTATTTTGCAAAGATGTGTCAATCTTTGCATCTGAAGCTACTGGCACAATGATAAATACAGTGGGACTGATAATTATCTCTGGGTATAATTCCGTGTATAGCACACTTTATATTGATATACACTACCGCCAACATTATTCCCTAAAATTTCATTCGATTCATTTAAAAGGCAAACACTTTTAAATAGTAAAATTAACAAGAACACAACAACACCACAACGTCATATTTACCATACAAATCGAGTCATTGTCATGTCAAAATTAATTACATAATTTCCATGTCTGTTTTCTATACTTTTTTATCCCTAGAAAGAGGGGAAAATACTCACTCGCACAGGACAGATGACGACTTCATGAAGTTGACCTGACATTGGCACACGTCTTCAAGGGCTGAAATCGAATACATATGAGATTATAGACGATATGTTAGATCAAGCTTGTAGCACATTTAGTGAGTGGGTCGGTTTTTTAACCGTTTTTAACAATACTCTAGCAATATCCCGGCGTGACGAGCAAACGCTATAACCAATTGGCTTCCCCTCCGCCCCTTGTACCACGAAATCATGTCCCGGCGGTACCCAACACTACAAATGAGGAAATTATTGATTCACACATGTCCATTGAAAACAAATATTCTGATAGGTTAATCTATGGTTTCAAATAAAAAATAACACCCATGACAATAGAGTCAATTTGACGCACGCATTACCGAATATTTCACAAATATGCGTTCCTCGTGGTTGGTAAACAGGTTCAAATATAGATTACAAATTCTGATCTGCCCTTCCTACACTTTGGACAGAAAACGTGATGAAAATGTACAACGTGCGTGTCACATGCTTTCAGGGATAGTTTTGAGATTGAAAATTGACGCTTCTCGGACTGTGACGTCACGGTTGCTGAGGTGCTCTCTGTGAAGATATTCTGCTGATGCCAGAATATTGGCGTGTGGTGAAGATCAAAGGCTAATCGAACTGACACATTTTTTTTTATCTACATGTAATCAATGTGTGTGAGTAAAGAAGGCAGAAGCGTAGAAGATATAACTGGAACTTGAACATGCATGAGAACAATTCGTGTAGTGTGAATAATTTGTGATTTTCTTGTCAAGAGATATGAAAAACAAAAGTCTGATAATAAAGACACATCTATTGGTTAGATGATCAACGATGATTCTGTAATTCACATCAGCAGCCAACACAAAGCACCACGTCGACACATCCATCTTCCCTTATTATCTTCGTGTACACCAAAAGATTCGTAATGAATTTTGTCATGGTAGATATTTTTTATTTTCAATGTAGAACTATGTGAGAAGTATATTTGATTGCAGGTTTATGTATGTGTAATGTCTTGTCGTGTGATGTTATTCTATTCAGTCAAATCTACAGATGGCATCGCTCTACTCTGAAAGCAACAGTGTGTTCATCTCCAAATTTAATCACAGAAATGTTGAGTATTAACAGTAGCACTTATCAGCATTTAATGTACCTACACCTACCAACTCTCAAAGATTAACCAGGATTTTACCTACAGCTACCAACTCTCCAAGATTAACCAGGATTTTAACTACAGCTACCAACTCTCCAAGATTAACCAATATTTTACCTACAGTTACCAACTCTCCCAGATTTAACCAGGATTTTACCTACACCTACAAACTCTCCAAGATTTAACCAGGATTTTAGCTACAGTTACCAACTCTCCAAGATTAACCAGGATTTTACCTACAGTTACCACCTCTCCAAGATTAACCAGGATTTTACCTACACCTACCAACTCTCCAAGATAAACCAGGATTCTACCTACAGTAACCAACTCTCCAAGATTTAACTAGGATTATACCTCCAGCCACCAACTCTCCCAGATTAAACCATGATTTTACCTACACCTATAAACTCTCCAAGATTTAACCAAGACTTTATCTACACCTACCAGCTCTCCAAGATTTAACCAGGATTATATCTCCAGCTACCAACTCTCCAAGATTAACCAGGATTTTACCTACAGCTACCAACTCTCCCAGATTTAACAAGGATTTTACCCACAGCTACCAACTCTCCAAGATTTAACCAAGATTTTACCTACACCTACCAACTCTCCAAGATTTAACAATGTTTTTGCCTACAGTTACCAACTCTCCCAGATTTAACCAGGATTTTACCTACAACTACCAACTCTCCAAGATTTAACCAGGATTCTACCTACACCTACAAACTCTCCAAGATTTAACCAGGATTATACCTCCAGCTACCAACTCTCCCAGATTAAACCAGGATTTTACCTACATCTACAAACTCTCCAAGAATTAACCAGGACTTTATCTACACCTACCAACTCTCCAAGATTAACCAGGATTTTACCTACACCTACCAACTCTCCAAGATTTAACCAGGATTATACCTCCAGCTACCAACTCTCCAAGATTAACAAGGACTTTACCTACACCTACCAGCTCTCCAAGATTAAACAATGATTTTACCTACACCTACCAACTCTCCAAGATTAACCAGGACTTTACCTACACCTACCAACTCTCCAAGATATAACCAGAATTGTATCTTAACCCACCAGCTCTCCAAAGGTTCATACATTTTATAAGTGCCTACCAGCTCTCCAAGATTTGACTGTATTTTATCTTCTCACACCAGCTCTTCAAAGGTTCATCTTTTTTACCCGTCAGCTCTACAAGGTTTACCTGTATTTTATCTTTAACCGTCAAATCTCAAAGGTTTACCTGTCTTTTATCTTTAACCGTCAAATCTCAAAGGTTTACCTGTATTTTATCTTTAACCGTCAAATCTCAAAGGTTTACCTGTATTTTATCTTTAACAGTCAAATCTCAAAGGTTGACCTGTATTTTATCTTTAACCGTCAAATCTCAAAGGTTATCTGTATTTTATCTTTAACCGTCAAATCTCAAAGGTTTACCTGTATTTTATCTTTAACCGTCAAATCTCAAAGGTTTACCTGTATTTCATCTTTAACAGTCAAATCTCAAAGGTTTACCTGTATTTTATCTTTAACCGTCAAATCTCAAAGGTTTACCTGTATTTTATCCTCACACACCAGCTGTCCAAAAAGGTCATCTGTGGTTTATATATGCCTACCAGCTCGCAAAAGGTTTTACCCGTATTCTATCTTTACCCGCCAGCTCTTCAAACTTTAATTTGCATGTTATCTTCACACACCAGCTCTCCAAAGTTAATCTGTATTTATCTACACCGATCAGCTCTCCAGGGTCTAATTTGTATCTTATCTAAAACCCATCAAATCGAAAAAGAGTAAACTTAATTCAGTCGACATCAACAAGATACAATTGAACTCACTGCACGTTAAATCTGTTTCATGCGTTGCCTGGTCCTCAACCAGTGTTTTGATGGTCTTAGAACCCCCGCATCCGGTAGTATCTGTCGTATCGTACAGGCACTGGTAATAAGTCCCTAGTGTACTGCAATGAAAAAAACATCAGCGTGTCTCATACCTTGCGTCCTTACACCTAGGAAGTAATGGTCGTCACACATGATTAATACGTTAAAGCAGTCAACACTTGATGCTGTATGCCAAAGGCATTGTGCTTCATTTCATGAAATTGTTTACTGCAATGATCAAAGGTTAGTAGCACTGAGTCCACGTACGTTTTTCACCAAATGCTTTATGTTATTCAAAAAAGGAAGGCGCTCGTCTTATTATATACAAACGAATGAAACCAATGTATAGTTGCATATTCAACCCTTATATACATTCAATATATATAAACGTATTCAATATAAACACGTGTGCAGGACTTACGTGCATGTTGTTGCTGCTGGGGCAAAAGGAATCACACAATCTTTACAAATTCCGGCACTTGCATAAGCTGAAACAAGACAAGAAACTCGATAATAACTGGTGACATAGAAGCAGAGAAACTGGGAACATGGATAAACTGGAATGACACTATTTGTCCCGTCGTAGATCATCAACAATAGTTGGAGAGATAGATAATGATAGCGACAAAGAGAGACAGTGAGTGATAGCGAGGCACTACTACTTACTGGCAGGGCAGCCTATTGTACCATCCATAGCGCTCTTAATACTACCGGCATAGGTGTGACGAGCCGTTCCATCACACGATGCAGTTGATGACTTTATAACACAGTCCAAGTTGGTCTTCAGAGCGCTGTAAATTACGTGATTATAATGTTGTAAGTAATATTCTGATTCATAATTGTATACTGAGGTATGTATTGTTGCTACCTATGGCACACTCCGCCTTACCCCGTGAAGATACGGGGTAGAAATAATTTTCAGCAACCCATACTTGTCTTAAGAGTAGACAGGATCGCTGATGCATGTCATCATATCCCAATTGCATATATCGATGCTCATGATGGATTGTCTATATACAGACCGCCGTCATATAGCTTGGACGTTGCAGAGTTCGGCGTTAAACAACAAACAAACATAGTCCTTAATTTGTATTATATATGTAACAGTATGTTTGTCGGCTTATCAACATTATGGCCTGCCGGCAAAATGATCTCTCTTATGATTTCACGTTGCTATTCTTATATAAGGATACTCTAAATCATACATACCTGCACTTTTTAGTGTCATCGTCGATGACAGTCGATGCATAGTCTATTTCACATAAACACGTTGTAGTCAAAGCTGAAAAACAACAGATGTGTAATGTTAAATGTTATACTTTGAAAAGTGACCATGGTTAGGAAAAAACATAAAGATTCACAATGCCATAAATAATGCTTGTGAAGATTGATCATACTTCAAATATTCTTTTGTCCTTGTGATGCATAGAAAATCGAGGAGAAGAATCAACTGAAACGTAGTTTTCAAAATTCATTAACGCCAAAACATGTATCGCGGAAGCTTTAGTCAGGTCATATATTCAATATCTATTACCTATAGGGTTAGACATAACAGAGTTAATAAAAATCGTATGTGCACTGGCACAAACATCACTTCTCGTGCACCAGGTTATTGTTTCCGTCATTCAAAAGGCTTAGCTGACGTCATTCGAATCTTATTGTGGCGTAAGGTCGAAATTACGTCACACTAGGTCAATGTTACAGCTGAAAATTCTTGACGTCATTCGACAAATTGTTTGTTTCTGAGACATAGGTGGTGATCAGTGTCTTTTTCGAAACAGAATCAAGAAATAATGGGTAAAAAAGCAGTTATGTGCCATACTGATGAGCATGTCCTGCTCTAAGACAATTGACATAAACAGTTAATGATTGTTTGTTGCTGAAAATCTTTACTTACGACAGTTAGTGGTACCGATATCGTCAAGGGAAGCCTTAGCAACTGCGGCCAAGGTCCATGGCTTTGTAGCGCCGTCACAACCACTGACTGTCTCGCCAGCCAAACATGACACGTAGGTTTTCAAAGCGCTGTAAATTATAGTAAAGTTATGACATAATTTTTATCTGGTCACTTGCTTTTTCAGTTCAGCTCGACATCGTTTCGACACGTGACCAGTTTCGTACTATCATCAAGTCAGATTAATTTCAGATTTGTCAAGATGATCCTTACTTGCATCCAGCGTCAAGAATGTACTTAATAAATCATCGTTGCCTTAACGGATAAGGAGGTATGGGGATTGTTTGATAGTCTATTGTTTGTGTCATAAAAGTGTAATATTACAATCATAATTCAGGAATAATATCAAGATCTATTTTATTAATAGTATAGCTTATACATGCCACAGCCAGTATAATTATTAGCATGTATTTTAAAACTCAGTACCATAATCTAAGTTACCGAACCAGTTAAGCTTGGAAGTCAGTAATCTGTACCAGTAGCATGCTGTTAGTACGTGGGGCGCCTTCTTTTCTTATGCAATATTATATACTTCAGCTGTTACCTGCATCAGTAACAATAAAATGGCAAAGGTAACTTGCACAAGCACACCATTCCTAGATTTTTCCTAGGCTACCATATCTGTCTGTGTCTCGTTCAGGACATGAATAAAGGGGATAAAATCCTTTCATAATCATCCGCTCTTGTACTTCCTTCACATAATGTAGAGAATGTTTGACATTCCTTTGCATGTGTTATGAAAAATGCCACTGGTGGGGTAGGACACGCTCACCTTTCACGAACGCTGGGTTTCATCACTATTTGATAGTGATTCACAAACACATGCTCATGATATAGTCGTGTTTTGTCGCTTTTCTTTATTTACACAGAGAAGGGAATATATGTAATCATAGAGAAGGAAATATATGTGATCATAGCTTTTTAGCTGTGATTTGTTCACACAATGTAGAAGGTTTTTGACATTCCTTTGGAAGCAGCATGTCCTTTTCATACTGAAGGGTTTATTGGATGTCTCCTTTACCCATCATATCATGCACATAATGTACAGCGTATTTGTGACATGTGAGTGTGCGTTCTGCTCATTTATGTTGTTTGTATCTCACACAAACGTAACACAGAGTGTTGTTGTATACTGTCCATAGTAAAAAGAGTTCATGTTCAACTCCTCTGCCGTTTGTATACCGTTTATATCACATCACCTTTATTTACCAGAAAGGATTACTGTGCAATCCTAGTCCTGTTCTTTGACCAATGACCTATTCTATATTGACTGACAAGATGAGCTGCATAACCATGTATACAGCATCATGTGTTAAGGGACAGTAATGTAACTTACGTGCATTTGTTTGCATCGGTATCTTTGAGGGCAACAGCGTAAGCGATTTCACATAGGCAAACTGGATTGGTAGCTGAAATGTAATCAAGTTAAAATACATGAAGATGGCGTAATTATAGTTCATGCTGTTCACGAAACGTGCTGAGCACTTAACACCAGTATTAACACGTCAAGCAGTTTGCTTAACGTTGAATAGATCATGAAGAAACTGACTAGATACAATCCTTACAATACCCTGAGAAACCTCCCGAGACATATAAACCACATTGAAAATGATGATAATAATCGCAATTGTAATTGTCTTGGGTCTGCAATTTAAAGTCCATTTTAACATGAGTGTAGTTTGTTGCCTTATAGCAGTTTTCTGTAATAATGTAATATTAGTGGCTGTAAAACCTCTTGTAAGTACATCTGCAGTAACTGTCAAGGGCAGCAAATTATTAAAGTGCTGTTAAAATGTCGTGTGTTGTCGGGTGCAGCGAGTGGTTTGTTTGTTGTTTAACACCGCACTCAGCAATATCCAGCTATTTAACGGCGGCCTGTACATGTAAATAAATGGACCAGACAAGCCAGTTGTCGATATGAGCAACGATCCACGCCGTCGGGGCCACGCCATCAACCAAGTCACCCAGCCTGACCGCCTCTTCCAATTCGGACACCCTGTTCAGGCTATTATGTAGCTATCGGAATGGACCAGTGAATCTTTGTATGAAGACATAATGATTTGTCGCTCTTGTATACATGAACATGACAGTTTTCGGGGTCGTTCGAGAAGTTTTGGGATTGGACAGTTTCTAGAAGGCTGGATGGACCTATGAAAGAGGCTTTTTACGATCCGACGTGCGTTTTATTTACTGACCAAGTCTAAATTGGATGCCTCAACACGGAAACAGGCTTTTTAAAGATATGCGACAGTGACAAAATTTCTGTATATATATTCGTGAATGCATTTATTACGACTCAAATGATTTGTTTACCTACAGAAACAAACAACCCTCTTGCACTCAGGTCAGATCATTTTCAACAACATATTTTCTTGCTGGTGAAATCATGGACGCTGAACAAGAAGACATTTCTAAAAAGAGTTGATGAACGAGTGAGTTGAGTTCTGCAATCCTTGAAACAGTACTTCGTGTACTTCACAATGTGTAATCTAAAGGTTGGAGAAAAGCTCGATGTGATTCAGGTCTGAAACATTTGGTGAAACCCACGGGCATGGAGCTGACAAACCAATGGTCATAATCAGGACGAATCGTCTCATTATCATGTTATGATACAGCTCCAGGGCGCAACCTTGGACAACTTGCGGCGCTTTAGGCGACTGGGCTGACGCCGACTTGATTCTTGGGTTTCAATGGTTTGTGTCAGTGTGATGCCTTCTTATAAGAGGACACAGAAAATAGCAGCAGTAACACGTATTTTGACAGATGCATCGTTCTCACATCACCCGGGACTTACTACATTTGTCGCTAGTTGCACCGCCAGCCGGTGTTGCAGCGTTCATTTTTGTTTTGATTGCTGTGTCGATCTCCGCTTTTGTTGAGGATCCGTCACAACCTACAGCAGTTGTTGTTCTTAGACAGCCTAACTCTACTAGCCACGCACTGACAAATAGAAACATGTCATGTATCAACTTGTATATGTACAATGAAAGAAAAATCTTAATAATATTTATATTTTATTTATGAACAGTATTTGTGCTTATCCGTTAGTTATCAAAATAGTGAATTAAAAAACATAGTACACAACTGTCATAATGTAATAATTGAACTCAATAATTAATTCTACTCACTCGCACTTCTTTTGCAGATCGGACAAATCAGACTTTGCGTAGGCTACCTCACAGACGCATGTATCAGATTGAGCTGAAAGGCACAACTTTTTCAATTCAAAGTTTATATGCAACAAGGTGCTTGTCTCTGAAGACAACATCGTCAGAGCTCATTGAATTCCTTTATCCAATCTGTTGACATCATTAAACGTATTTACATTCAAGATAAATAAGCACATATTTGTAATGCTTCACTCCTGTGAGTCAGAATATCGTCTTTTCATATTTGCACTTGAACTTTTGTTATTATCACTGTGAGTATATCAAGAATGTTTATATATGTCTTGAGTATCGCATTAAATTTATTACATAGATGTCATCGGGGAAACACGATAAATATTTACGTGTACGAACCTTAAATTTTTTCCATATTTTTTATGGGCATCTGAGAAATACTGACATATGTGCACCATGGAATGATCATGTCCTAAGTGGCACATGACACATGCATGCAAACATGGTTTATATATCCCTAAGTACATAGAACACTTTAATATAAGCTTACCGCAGTTTGTTGTACCGATTGTATCCATATCCTTCTTCCACTGGACGTCCAGCCCGTCCACTGTTGCCACATTACAGCCAGTAGTCGTCTTCCCCTTCAGACACAACAACGCTGCCACTAGAGCACTGTAAGTGTAGAAGAGAATTAAAATGAATAGGCACAACAGCGCTGCCACTAGAGCACTGTAAGTGTAGAAGAGAATTATAATGAAAAGACACAACAACGCTGCCACTAGGGCACGGTAGTGTAGAAGAGAATTAAAATGAATAGACACAACAGCGCTGCCACTAGGGCACTGTAAGTGTAGAAGAGAATTATAATGAAAAGACACAACAACGCTGCCACTTGAGCAGAAAGATACTCCCCGACCCTCTCTGCTCAACATTCAACATAGACCTGTCCCGACACATAGAAGAGTACTCCCCACCATCTCTGCTCAACATTCAACATGGACATGTCCTGACATGGCAATATACTCCCCACCCTCTCTGCTCAGCATTCAACATGGACATGTTCAGACACATTACAATATACTCATCACCCTCTCTGCCAAACATTCAACATGGACATGTCCTGACATGGCAATATACTCCCCACCCTCTCTGCTCAACATTCAACATGGACATGTCCTGACATGGCAATATACTCCCCACCCTCTCTGCTCAGCATTCAACATTGACATGTTCAGACACATTACAATATACTCATCACCCTCTCTGCCAAACATTCAACATGGACATGTCCTGACATGGCAATATACTCCCCACCCTCTCTGCTCAACATTCAACATGGACATGTCCTGACATGACAATATACTCCCCACCCTCTCTGCTCAACATTCAACATGGACATGTCCTGACACATTACAATATACTCCCCACCCTCTCTGCCCAACATTCAATGTGGACATGTCCTGACACATGGCAATATACTCCCCACCCTCTCTGCCTAACATTCAACGTGGACATGTCTTGACACATGGCAATATACTCCCCACCCTCACTGCTCAACATTAAACATGGGCATGTCCTGACACATGACAATATACTCCCCACCCTCACTGCTCAACATTCAACATGGACATGTCATGACATGGCAATATACTCCCCACCCACTCTGCTCAACATTCAACCTGGACGTGTTCAGAAACCTGGCAATATACTCCCGACCCTCTCTGCTCAACATTTAACGTGGACATGTTCTGACACATAGAAATATACTCCCCACACTCTCTGCTCAACATTCAACGTGGACATGTCCTGACACATAGAAATATACTCCCCACACTCTCTGCTCAACATTCAACGTGGACATGTCCTGACACATAGAAATATACTCCCCACACTCTCTGCTCAACATTCAACGTGGACATGTCCTGATACATGGCAGTATACTCTCCACTCTCTCTGCCCAACAGTCAACATGGACATGTCCTGACACATAGAAATATACTCCCCACACTCTCTGCTCAACATTCAACGTGGACATGTCCTGATACATGGCAGTATACTCTCCACTCTCTCTGCCCAACAATCAACATGGACATGTCCTGACACATAGAAATATACTCCCCACTCTCCCTGCCCGACAGTCAACATGGACATGTCCTGACACATAGAAAGATACTCATCACCCTCTCTGCTCAACATTCAACCTGGACATGTCCTGACACATAGAAAGATACTCCCCACACTCTCTGCTCAACATTCAACATGGGCATGTCCTGACACATAGAAAGATACTCATCACCCTCTCTGCTCAACATTCAACATGGACATGTCCTGACACATAGAAAGATACTCCCCACACTCTCTGCTCAACATTCAACCTGGACATGTCCTGACAGATAGAAAGATACTCCCGACCCTCTCTGCTCAACATTCAACCTGGACATGTCCTGACACATAGAAAGATACTCATCACCCTCTCTGCCTAACATTCAACGTTGACATGTGCTGACACATGACAATATACTCCCCACTCTCTCTGCCATACATTCAACGTGGACATGTGCTGACACATAGAAAGATACTCATCACCCTCTCTGCCCAACATTCAACGTTGACATGTCCTGACACATGGCAATATACTCCCCACCCTCTCTGCCCAACAATCAACGTGGACATGTCCTGACACATAGAAAGATACTCATCACCCTCTCTGCCCAACATTCAACGTGGACATGTCCTGACACATAGAAAGATACTCATCACCCTCTCTGCCCAACATTCAACATGGACGTGTCCTGACACATGGCCATATACTCCCCACCCTCTCTGCCCAACATTCAATGTGGACATGTCCTGACACATAGAAAGATGTTCATCACCCTCTCTGCCCAACATTCAACGTGGATATGTTCAGACACATGACAATATACTCCCCACCCTCTCTGCCCAACATTCAACGTGGACATGTTCAGACACATTACAATATACTCCCCACCCTTCTCTTCACATCCAACATGGCCATGTTCAGACACATTACAATATACTCCCCACCCTTCTCTTCACATCCAACATGGCCATGTTCTGACACATTACAATAGACTCCCCGCCCTTCTGCTCTACATCCAACATGGACATGTTCTGACACATTACAATATACTCCCCGCCCTTCTGCTCTACATCCACTATGGACATGTTCTGACACATTACAATATACTCCCCGCCCTTCTGCTCTACATCCAACATGGACATGTTCTGACACATAGAAAGATATTTCCCTCCCTCTCTGTCCAACATTTAACATGAACAAGTCGCGACACTAGAAATTTACTCACGTGCATTTATCGGCGTCCGACGTTCTGGTTGCTTTGGCATAGTCAATCTCACACTGACACCTGGGTGTTACAGCTGAGAATAAAGGCAACAAACCAATTTCTATCATCAGCTTACTTTCAACTAAATCTCTACAAAAGTCATGCGCATCTTGAAACTGACCAATAGACCATTTCTACATCCATCTTAAAGTTAGTGGGTTAGTTGGTTGTACGCCGCAATTAGCAATATTACAGCAATATCACGGCGGGGGAAACCAGAAATTATTACCCATATTGTACCCATGTGCGGAATCGAACCAGGGCGTTCGGCCTGACGAGCGAACGCTTTAACAACTAGGCTACCGCCCCAGCTTCAGCTTTAAGCTGCGCACACATATGCATTAACTTTACTTACCGTGTTCATAAACACTGTCACTCAGATCTTTGTACCGATAAATAAATGTTTGTATGTGATTAAATAAATAAATAAATATATAAATGAGGGTTCAGGCTTATTAAAAATGAGTAGAATATTTACTGCAGCTGGTGGCCTTGAAATCCGTTTCAGCTGTTGTCGCTAAGGTGGGCACAGTGTCGGTGCTCACACAGCCAGCCGCTGTTTTTGTTCGCAGACATCCTATATATGCTGCCAAAGCCCTGGAAAACAATGTGTTACATAAGCATGGAAAGCATAGCGCAACTTCTGTCACGACAGTGTGAGGAGGGTTCAACGCCGCTTTGAATTTTAGGTTATTGTACGGCACGGCCACTTCACATGGCATAAAACGCCAAAGTGATGCAGGTCTTCGAGACAACCTTTACACGTGGTACTTGGCTGTCAAACAAGGGACCATTATTCGGACGAACATGAGATTCGAACCCCTGCTCACTAGACTACGGGACACCCCGACACACACTCGTGCTCAGATTAATCCAGTTGAGTACTTACGAGCACTTGTTTGTAGGATCGTTGATGGTAGCCTTAGCATACCCCAGCTCGCAAGCCGTGCATGTGTCAGTTGGAGCTTAAAAGATAATGAATACATTGATTATGTACACCTGTGACAAAAACTGACGTCGTTATTATGCCTTATACATACAATCAGAACAAAATCATTAAGACATTAGTTATCTTACAATTCAATTTCGACCGCTCCACAAAGCAAATATGTACATAATAGTATGAGTGAATCAGTGAGTGAGTGAGTGAGTATGACTTCAGCGCCGCATTTAGCAATATGACAGCAATATTATTGTAGGGGACACCGGAAATGGGCTTCACACATTGTACTCATGTCGGGAATCAAACCCAGGCCTTGTCGAGGTCGCAAAGCTCAATAATTGTAAGACAACAATCAACATGAAGTACTCTGTTAGCTTCCACTTATTCTGATAATATATTGGTTACATATAAATAAGTTTCCCCTGCTTATATAATGCTTTACTTGTATTGCTTGGGAAATTGGTACTTGAGTTGAAGTTAAATGGGGTTTAACGTCGCGTTCAAGATTTTTTATTCATATAGCCACATGCATGTACAGTTTTATTGTGCTGTCCAAATGAGATACCATCACATAGCATAACATGGATATCTCATGGGCAGGTAACACCAACTATCTTTTAACGTATTGTGGTCTGATGCGGCCAGGGGATCAAACCACCGACTTCCGCTCACAGGGCGGACGCTGTGTCCACTACACCATTGAGGAGAAGACAATGGGACGAACAGGGAAGAAAATACATCACTGAAACAATATAACATACTGTTAATCTACAAATAAAGTAACTTACAACAAGACGTAATTGTGCCAAATCGTCCCCCTGCTGCAGTTGCCAGGGCAATAGAAGTGGATGCACCATCACAACTCATATCTGCGGGCTCTTTACCTTTGAGACACGACACGAGAGTCATCTCAGCTCTGTAAGAGAATGAAGTGAGACTTTCGCTGCTTACCAGTGAATATCTTGTGGCCTTACAACATGAACACACAGCACTGAGGGTAGCCCAACGCACGAATGATGTATCAAAAGTAAACCGCTTGATGGTACGCTGGCACAACCTGTCATAGACCGCTGGGGTATACGGTTGAATTTATCCTCTCTGTTTCCGTGTAACCGAGTCGGTACATCAATCCGTATTTCTCGAGGGATCAGCTGATACCACAATTTGTGAAAAGCGGAGGTTGAGATAGGAAGCGTTATTTGTCGCCATATAGCCAGACGAAAACATGATTATGTTTCACGCATCACGTAAATCTTAAATCAATACCTAAAATACATAACGCGGCGTTGTTTCGCTGTATCCAGCATGGATTTCAAATACAGGACAATGGTCGTTGCCATGATAGCGGGGTATATTTGTTCCCAGTTGTTCACTGATGGAGCAGGGCACATGCTACTTTATCAAAACGTCATTGACCAAAACAATTAAAATAGTTTAGATGTAAAGTCAGCTAATGACATTTCCTGAGTCATTTGGGAGGGAGGGAGAGGGGGAGGGAATAACCAGTCTCGATTATCCGCCGAAACAGATTCCATTCGGCGTAAAAGGCAAAATAGCGGTGAAAATTAAAGTGTCCATGATATTCTCATGGTACGAACTGTCCATGGTATACTCATGTCATGGTACGAACTGTCCATGGTATACTCATGGCATTAAGTGTCCATGGTATACTCATGGCATTAAGTGTTCATAGTATACTCATGGCATTAAGTGTCCGTGATATACTCATGGTATAAAGTGACCATGGTATACTCATGGTATTAAGTGTCCGTGATATACTCATGGTATAAAGTGATCATGGTATACTCATGGTATTAAGTGTTCATGGTATTCTCATGGTACTAAGTGTCCATGAAATACTCATGGCACTAAGTGACCAAAGTATACTTATGGTATAATGTGCCCGTGATATACTCATGGTATTAAGTGTTCATGGTATATTCATGGTATTAAGTGTCCATGGTTTACTCATGGTTTTAAGTGACCATGGTATACTCATGGTATTAAGTGTCCGTGATATATTCATGGTATTAAGTGTTCATGGTATTCTCATGGTATTAAGTGTCCATGGTATACTCATGGTACTAAGTGTCCACGGTATACTCATGGTATTAGGTGTCCATGGTTTACTCATGGTATTAAGTGTCCATAGTATACACATGTTATTTAGTGTCCGTGGTATACTCATGGTATTAAATGTCCATGGTTTACTCATGGTATTAACTGCCCATGGTATACTCATGGTTTGTGACATACTATCTGTCACAGCCCGTGTACCAGATTGAACCAGTAATTTGTGATTTACTATAGTTGTCGCGATTGTGAGAGTGTGAGATGTATCAACATTATTTACCTAGAGTAAAATTAATTCTTATTGTGTTTATGTAAACGAACGAGTTAGTACTGCTGCTATATGGATACTGCTGCTATCCATATGTGTTGTAACTAGACAATTGTCCCTGAAAACTGCCACCCGGACAAATGCCCTAATAAAACAGCCATCATAACAATTGCCCCTGAAAACTGCCACCCGGACAATTGACTCCTGAAAACTTCCACCCGGACATTTGACTCCTGAAAACTGCCACCCGGACAATTGACTCAACAAATCCTGTTCATCCTGCTCATTATTATATCACACAACAGACATCATATTGAATTAATAAAAGGCAAAACAAACAGCTACGAATACTTTGCACACGAAATTAACTGTGACCTTGGCCTGACGCGTAGGTCACTCAAAGCTTTTCCAGCTCGAGGCCCGACTTAATATCCTTAAGGAAGACAATTATATGGTTAAACTGACTTGCAATGAACACCTTTAAAATAAGAAGAAGAATAATAAGAAGAATTGTCCCACTCTCCATTGTTCTCGGTGCGTTACATCGGGAGAGTACCCGGGTTTGCTGCCAAGAATACAGCCCATCTGACAATCTGGGTAATTCAGAAGGCTGCAGTGTTGTTAGAGTCTTCACATTCTCTGAAAAGTTCTATGTGGGTTCGACTGGACTGCGCTCCCTGGGAGAAGTCCCATTCACTGGCTGGCTGGGCTGCGTGTAGATAGGGCAAAGGCCCTGACCCGATGATGAGTCTAACCAGCCTGACTGTGCCAGGATCACCACAAACCCTCTTTGCTGCATTTTTATTTGAATCTGTACATAATACTAACGCCATTTGAAACATAATCTCTAAGAAGACGCCTCTAATGTTTTTATCATTCTAGTTTGATCAGTTAATAACCCCGGCTTCACTGATTTGATTCCGAGTATCAAAGGAAAGCATTCGAAAATACAAAATGCACAAATACTAGTACATGTTTTAGCGTTCACGATGGCATCATTTGTTGAAGAATATGATTTGGGCGCTGGTTTTGTGATATGATTAAGGATAAAGTTCATGGAATCTTACGTGCACTTCTCGCCATCTGAAGAGTATGGCATCTTGACATAGGCAACTTCACAGCCACACGTTTTGGTGGTAATAGCTGTAAATTGACCAAAACAATATATAAGAATTACTGAAATTGTGTCCAACACAAACCGTTGAAGCTGATGCACTGTGATGTCGCTAATCTCCTCACTCCCATACAGTGTAAGATTACATAGCTTCCGATGTTGTCGTCGCCATCTTATTGCCAATTGGCAGTTCTTTATTGGTACATTTCAAATTGACTGCAACAATACCTACTAAGAACAATTGGTTGAATCAAGATGATATACAGTGAAATCCGTTACTTCCTCAGTTTAAATCATCAAATGATGGGCTGTGCCCTTAATATTATTAGACGTATCAGTAGTCATCTTGAAGGCAGGATTTCAGATTTCTATAGAACATTGAGCAGCAGCTATGCCTTGCAACAGGCGCTTAGGATCGTTTTACATGAAGTCAAGGAATCAAATATCTTTCTTGCAGTGTTGGTGTAATATAGATATGTGTGTCTAACTCACCGCACTGAGATGTCAGGCTACCGTATGCTGTCTCTGTGGAAAGACCGAGAGCCGTCACTGACGTGCCCATGCAGCCAGGATCAGTCTTTGTCTTCAGACACGACACAAATGTCCCAAGTGCTCTGTACAGTAAAGGTCATATATGTATTCCATGTGTAATATATGCTGATGTAAAGTCAGATAAGGGCAACAAAATTAGGTTGCACTCGTTTTGAATATCCCGAATAAACAAGAAAACTGATTAGTTGTCCAGAGGAGAAAATGAATCAGCATTAGAAAATTAAAACTATGACAGAATTAGTGAATTGAACCTACGTAATTTTAAGACGAGTCTTCAGTGTATTAATCATTTGAAAATATCGAAAGAGAGGTATAGGCAGGCATATTAAGTCCACGGGTTTATGTGAATGTCACATCCGCTTCGACGTTGTTCCTTTACAATTATAGTAAATCCTGGCATCATTTAGGGGAACTGCATCTGGTATTGTTCAGATATGTATCAAGATATACTGCTGTGACCGAGCTTAAAACTTAGACACGAGTCTTCAGTGTATTCATCATTTACGATATTAACGGTATTAGTCTTTTAGGACAACAAACTACTGAGAACATTCAAGCGACAGTAATTAAGTGACCTGTCTTCCATACGGATCTACTTACGTGCAGTGATTAGCATCGGATGAAATGTCAGCCTTGGCGTAGTTAGCCTCGCATGTACAGGTGTCCGTCAGAGCTGGAGGGAAGAAAAGACAGGAAATAAACATGTCCGGACACTAGTTATCTCTGTAAAACATACTGAGTGCTTAGGAACACTGCTTACATATGAAGGTGATCGTAGTTAATATGTACATACAACATAGGCCTTGTGGTGTAAGGCGTGACACCGAAGACCCGGGTTCGATTCCTGACATGGGTACAATGTGTGAAGCCCATTTCTGGTTTCCCCCGCCGTGATATTGCTGGAATATTGCTAAAAGCGGCGTAAAATCATACTCACTATGATTGTGGTGTGAGGAAAACAAACTGAAACGAATGAATCTTTGACCCTACATTAAGGACTGGTGAAAATAACCATTTGTTAAAAATAGAGATTCGTCATTCCACGCTTGGTTATCTGGAGTAGCCCAGTGGTTAAATCATTCGTTATTCACGCCGGATTTGATTCGATCCCGGACATGTTACAGTGTGTGAAGCCCAATTCCCAGTGAATCCCGTTTCTGGTTTCTCGTGATGTTGCTGGCATGTTGCTGAGAACGGCGTAAGACCCAACTAACTCACGTACTAGTTTTCTCTGACACGATGTGTGGATGTCAGAACAAAGTAACGCCACGGTCCCAGCGGAACCCTGGCCTTTGCCCATGTATGACTCCGTGTCTGTCGATGTATGACTCCATGTAAGGTATTTTCGTGTCTGTCGATGTATGACTCCATGTAAGGTATTTTCGTGTGTGTCAATGTATGACTCCATGTAAGGTATTTTCGTGTCTGTCAATGTATGACTCCATGTAAGGTATTTTCGTGTGTGTCGATGTATGACTCCATGTAAGGCATTTTCGTGTGTGTCGATGTATGACTCCATGTTAAGTATTTTCGTGTGTGTCGATGTATGACTCCATGTTAAGTATTTTCGTGTGTGTCGATGTATGATTCCATGTTAAGTATTTTCGTGTGTGTCGATGTATGACTCCGTGTAAGGTATTTTCGTGTGTGTCGATGTATGACTCCATGTAAGGTATTTTCGTGTGTGTCGATGTATGACTCCATGTAAGGTATTTTCGTGTGTGTCGATGTATGACTCCATGTAAGGTATTTTCGTGTGTGTCGATGTATGACTCCATGTAAGGTATTTTCGTGTGTGTCGATGTATGACTCTGTGTAAGGTATTTTCGTGTGTGTCGATGTATGACTCCGTGTAAGGTATTTTCGTGTGTGTCGATGTATGACTCCATGTAAGGTATTTTTGTGTGTGTCGATGTATGACTCCATGTTAAGTATTTTCGTGTGTGTCGATGTATGACTCCGTGTAAGGTATTTTCGTGTGTGTCGATATATGACTCCATGTAAGGTAACAGAAAGTTATATTTTCTTCTTCGTTGCGGCAGCCTGAACTAACTATAGAAAAACTACACTGTAAGGTACAATTGACCCCCAGTACCCCCCAACGACAGGGTATACATGAGCCCTTTCTGTCCTGAAGAAGAAAATGAAATACATTTCCTCATAGAATGTGATATGTACACTGACTTACGCTTTGAAACGTTAACAGCAATGAAGTCGAATGACACGATTCAGTCTTTTAACAACTCCTCGTCAGTCAAAACGTTCATGCAACTCTTAAAACGCATTATTTGTAAACCTTGAAATACCGTTTTAGCCATGTATCAACGACGACAAATGTTGTCTTGGCAGTTTTACTGATACATGATGTTGTTTCTGTTATAATATATGTTACAGTATAGTATGTGTTGGAACTGATAATAGCATGGGCGGATACAGACCTCCCCTTTTTATTTCTTGATTTCTGTATAAATTACCACCAAAGACAATAAATAGATCTTAATTGTGCACCCTCTTTTTCAAAAAAGCTGTATCCCCCCATGAATAGTATGTTTACCTCTGTGTCTGTGTGTGTGCGTATGCTCTCTCTCTCTCTCTCTCTCTCTCTCTCTCTCTCTCTCTCTCTCTCTCTTTCTCTCTCTCTCTTTCTCTCTCTCTCTCTCTCTCCCCTCTCTCTAATATGCGACGATAGTAGAATGGAGGAGCAAGACCTGGCATACTGCCTGCACATTGCAACGTTGTCAGCGGAGTGGGATATCCTTTTGGCCAGTTTCATGATATGAGCAGGATATGAGAAGAAGGATATATTGAAGTTACATGAAATGACAATTGCTAAAAACTGCAAATACAAATGAGACATACCACAGGCAGTTCCTGAGTTTGAGGAGAAACGATGGTTTACAAATAGGGCCATTCTGGAATCACATAAAACCTGCAACTACAAATGAGACATACCACATGAGCCGATAGCAGGGATGGTGGTGTCGACGGCGGTGGTGGCCAAGGTGCTGGCTGTGCCAGCACTACACCCAGCACCTGTCTTCCCCTTCAGGCAGGATACCAGATTCAGTTGAGCCCTGTGGCAGTAACATGGAAAGAGTTAATTGACGTCATCCGCACGAGTGACATGACAAGTGTTATGGATTGTAGTTACATGATAATGCTCTCTGTGTCTAGCAACAAGTGGAGATTTTTCAAGCAAAGTTTTTTATAAGGGAATCACCATTTCATAATGGCTGGAGTGGGTCTGGACGGGGTTTGATGATTCTTGTTAGAGACAGGATATTTTTGTCAACCCAATAAAACGCGTTGTTCCGTGTTCCTTATTCCTATATATTTGAAACAAAGTATTCTTTCAGGACATCCTGCCAATCCAGAGTACAATTTACAACCTGAAGTGTTTTTCTGAAAACATGTTGTTTTTTTCAAACCAATCCAAGCTCCGGAGGCCCCTCCATGTATACCACTAATATATATTGAAAAAATAGCGCACGATAGCTCATGAAATCATACGATTAATAGGATGGTAACGTTAACCTCAAAATGGAAAGTACATTCGTAAAGTACGTGAAAGAAATGTCGACGTTGTCAGGGCACACTCACGTGCATCTGGCGGCCGGTGAGGACACATCAGCCTTGGCATACCCCAACTCACAGGAACAAGCTGATGTAGCAAAATCTGAAACACGCATTGCGATATCATGGAAAGTTCGATCAAAGGTCAATGAGATTTAAACAGACGAGTGCCACTCGGAGGGATTGGATCAATTGGATCAGAACTCTCAAATAACATTTTTAAGGCAAGCTACATTATTAGCAAATTTAGTATTTTTCAAGCACACGATTCACGTTTTAAAACTGGCTGTTCATAGAACATTAAACCAGCTCCCGTTTTATACAATTTTTTATAAACGAGTGTATAGTTCTGTTATTTGATTCGCGTTCCCTCGAGTTTCATAAAACTGGTATAACATGGGGACGTATTTAGTATTTTATTTATTACTTGCCTTGTATAACTCTTAAACTGTCACATTTATATTTACATAGACTGTCGATGCGCCACCATCGCCTTGTGGAACGGGGCCCTGCACCCCAAACTTTATAATCACGTAATAATAACCTATGGCGTAATTTGTGAAATTGTGTTGAAAGGTACACCAGCAAAACAATGTCATGTGAAGTCAGCCTACTAACAGGGTTGCTTGGGTCACCGGGTGTGCATAAACTCCTCTCAGTTATATCTATTATCTCTACACACAATGTCTTTGAATAAGTCCAGGGATGTTGAGAGTTTTAGATATTTCTTACCGAAACCAGTTCCAGCAGTACATAAGCACGCGCTTTGGTATTAACTCTGTGTAATACAAGCTTATTGTTTTTAAAAGGGCGAGAGTGTGGGCGAGTAATTTAAAAGGACATGTGTTCTCAGTTAGCATTTTAAGATGAACTATGAAACATTTATCTTTTCTCTGATGATTTGAAATGAGCTCGTGCTTAATTGGTTGAATTTTACAGTAAAAATGAGCTCAGATCCTAAACACAACCATACACACATTACTTGTTCCATAATTTCTAAACATGTTTAGGATCTGAGCATGCTTAGGAGCTACATGTTTAAAACCAGTATTCAAATTCATTGTAGGTATATTAAAAAAGGGTACCTTTCTAAAAAAAATTAGCGTTTGATGGGGATATAGAAGTATGAGTGTAACTTTCAAAAGTTAAGGGTCTATCGTAGTAATCAGATGTACTTTCATTGTCAACTTCCGTTTTCATGTATTCTAGAAATACCATTCGTCATACAGCAACAACACATTTTTTGTAGACAACACTTTTAAAACCTCCCGATTTGTCGTCTTTCTTGCTTCCACTTGTGTACGGAGACTGTTATCGTCACAAATGTCAATTTTCCTAGTCACTATCAAATCAAAATTGCTTGGTGTAGAGGTTACCAACCTTTTGAATTGCTGTGCATAAATCCAGATAGGACACTGAATATGGTTTCTCAGTTGCTTCTTTGATTTTCGAAGCAATCGTACAGTCAGAATACTGTATCTTACCTGTACACCCAGTCCCGATGGGAGTTTCAATAGCAGCTGCGAGGCTTATGACTGTGTCGCCACTTTTGCAAGTAGCTGCTGTTTTGTCTTTCAGGCAGTTCACAAAGGTCTTCATCGCACTGGAAAAATTACCAGAGGCACAACATCAACACTGTCATAAAATTTCAGTAAGCTTCAGGTAGTCTAGTAATATATGTTGAGAAGAAGTATCATTTTGAAACACCCAAACATGGCCCCTTTATGAAAATATACACAAGAGAAGAATAGGCAGGCAAGTCCACGGGTTTATGTGAATGCCACATCCACTTCGACATTATTCCTTTGCAATTATAGTAAATCATTTAGGGAAACTGCATCTGGTATTGTTCAGATATGTATCAAGATATATTGCTGTGACCGAGCATAAAATATCAACAGAACAAACACATTTCCAGTCTGACGAAAATGTCTGTCCCCATAACTTTCAAATTACAAAACGTCTGAGACCGTTCCACACACACCAACCTGACTTGCCTTGATATTACTTAAATTCTATTAAAAGAACTCACTCACGCACACACGACAAAAGTGTGGATAACGTCAACTGAAAGATGTGTGAGACTTCTGTGGTCGGTGTTATGCAGTGCTACTCACTTAACAAAAAGTAGCTAAACCATTATGAAAACCAGTTTTGAATTTTGCTCATTCTATATTAGGACTGGTGTGTAATTGTTTTCAACATGGTATCCCTTAGAAGCGAAACTCAAAAGTAGACATGATTTACATTATTCTAATCTCTTACCAACATCAACAGGACGACCTATACTCAAGCTTTCATAAAGTTTCCTGTTAATAAAAAATATACTAAATGATACCCCTTCCTGACAGAGAAATCATGTAAGTAAATCCATAGAAGTAAATCCTTTGCGTCACGGAAAGATTACACCTCGCAACACAACGTCATCCATATCTTAATACGCTACCTGCAATGGTCAGATGAGATGTCAGTCTTCGCATACGTGGCCTCGCATGTACAGGTATCAGTTTTAGCTGGAAAATGGAACAGTTTGTGGCATGTAATGGTGGACTTGGTATGGGTGTTCATAGTTTGAATACCGTAATGGTGGATTTAGTTTGGGTGTACACAGCTGATGGAATCCAGTGGTGAACTTCGTATAATTGTACACAGTTGCAACATGTAATGATGGACTTAATTTGGGTGTACTCACTTTGAAACATTGTTGTACATAGTATATAATGAACCAGAGCAGTCATCAACAAACATTTCCTTTCGGGTTTCTTATAATCCTTTGCTGGTACCAACTGAATGAGTGAGTGTGGGTTTAACATCACTTACATTGGAACCATTTGACACAAGTATTGGCAATTACTTTGAGGAGAAACGATGGTTTACAAATAGGGCCATTCTGGAATCACATAAAACCTGCAACTACAAATGAGACATACCACATGAGCCGATAGCAGGGATGGTGGTGTCGAAGGCGGTGGTGGCCAGGGAGTGGGTGGTGCCCCCTATACATCCTGCACCCGTCTTACCCTTCAGGCAGGATACCAGATTCAGTTGAGCGCTGAGGAATTACATATTTGGATAAATATACTACAATATACAAGGAATGAAAAACAGGAGCACCATCGAAACCTTTCACTTTGGACATTCCCCGCGAATTCCCTCAAAGTTTGAGTTTCATGTCAGCAAATGATATTTGAGAAATGTTCCAACGCTCTTTTAATATAAAGTCTCTGCGTCTCTGACCTTCTCGAGGTTTCCGCATGTTTCAGTATGTACATGTGACGCTTGATGGGCTAGCCAGATGTCACCCACAATGTAATTAGGAAACCGTGGTAGACAAATTCAGACAAACATGTCAAGCAGGACGTCAAAGCTGGCGCAAACGCACAAAATAAGGCATATACTGTCTGTATTGGGTTTCCATGTTAATGTGCAACGTGATGTCGGCACGCACGCACCTGCACAAACAGAGACATTTCAACATACATGCGCATGCACGTTGATATATTTTTTTATTGAAGTTTACACGATATAGGGATTTGACGACACAATTGGACGTTCATACGTTGTTCACAAGACCGTATTCTTGAAATGACGTAAACACGGACGGACTCCTGGGGAAACCCCTGGGAATTCCCTAGCACGAATACATACAGAAGCGTTCTTTCTGATCATTTAGACCCTGTAATCTTGAACTCAGCGTTTCAGTATCGTCGAGAAACGTTAAAAGTTTGCATGATTGTTCACGAATATCCTCGCTACGACCCAATGAGGTCCTAATGAACAAAACGACGAAATGCACATCCCAAATATGATAGTATCGACTTATTTCATGTCTAGGCTGACACTGACAGTCTACAGCAATCTATGAATTTGACACATCTTTAATCACCTTACAATGATCGGCCAGTTGATCAATGATGACTAAAACATGTAACCGCCATTCATTAACAACTTCCGAAATCTCTCCCGTCACATTTATAGTGTCAGCCATTTTGACGTCTTGTACTTTATGTAAATGTATTACAACGCTATGTCATTTGTGACTGACTTACTGAGGAAGTTCTGAACAGGCCTTTCTCATCTAATGAGGATATTACTTGAGTACATTTGTTCAGAAGAAACTACAAAAGTTGTCCCTGTTGAGCATGTTGAGCATACATAAGCTCATGTCACTTGACGTTTTGAGGAACTATTTCAGCAGGTTCATGTATGGCTGTCAGTGTAAACATGAAGTCACACGAACTAAATATAATTTGTATACGTCCTTTGTAGCTGAGAATAGCGATATAAAAATTAGAAGAATTGACTTTTCACTTTGTGTGAGTTCATTTGAGTATGCTCGTAAGCACCGATGTTCATACAGTTTGGCCCTCATACTCCAATGAACTCACACAAAGTGAAAGTCAATTCTTTAATATAAGTGCGATAATCTTGAACATGACCTTTAACCCAACTTCCCCTTCACCTCATCGTTATGAATGATATTGACCTTCAATATCAGCAAGTCATATACAAATACAATATGAAACGTCAACGCCAGAGAATGGCCGTGAAAGACGTAAAAGGCAAAATAGAGGTGAATATTAAATATCATTGATGGAACCAGGTGTTCGCGAAAAGGGTAAACGTGTCCTTTCTTACCGATAGCACCCGACACTCACATAATTTGCATAAAAAAGTAAGTGTTTGTTCCCTAACTCCGGACAGCAGTTTTCAAAATAAATAAAAGCGACAAAACCCTTTCTATATTCATAAAAAATCTCTGCCAAAAACAGAGTCCATTGTACGATTCCGAATATATCATGAACATGTGTTTATGAATCACTATCAAATAGTGATGATACCAGGTGATCGCAAAAAGGTAAGCCTATCCCTACCCAACGGTAGCACACATCACAAACATATGCAAAGACAAGTCAATAGCACACCTGAAAAAACACGGGAACAAACTGTACAATGCGGCAACCCAGACAATCAGGCCACAACCAAAAAACTCAGTGCTACGATAGCGCATTTATTGATTTTTGTCAAACTAAAAGCGACATATTAATTTTGAATTACATCTGTTGTGTACAAAACAATCACAGAGATATGTAGAAGCTATGTTAATCATGTCGTCCCTATCATTTGTAGTAAGCTCCCAGGATAAATCGAGGTGCAATAGTTGAGACGGTATTGACAGTAGATAAATTCAAACAAACACTATAAGCAGAATTTTGTAGACAATACAAAAACACAAGTATTTTTCTACATTAATCGCGTTCACGTTATTTTAAGGAACACATGTACAGCACTTACGTGCATCTATTTGCCTCCGAGGATATGTCAGCCTTGGCATACTCCAGCTCACAGGAACAGGCTGAGGAAGTGAAACCTGAACAAAGGTGTAATGACATTTCAGTGCACACTCTATTTCATTTAGACGCCTAATCATTATTTAGCTTTATAGTGACACTTTCAACTTTGTTACATTTTAACAACAACAGGTATGTAATCAGTAGAGTACATTGTTAGACGATTCCCCATAATACACAAGCAGGACAGTTTGACATGTTAAGGTACATGACCTTGACCCCGTGGGAAAAGGTCACCAACATCCTGTGCTAGTTGTAAAAGACGACTTAATGGTTCTGGTGGTCAGACTCAATGGCTTTGTTGATTGCCTGTCATTGTACCCTGACGGCGTGGATAGTTACTCCTTATATCAATCACTGGATTGTCTGTCCCAGCTTCATTATATACAGGCCGCCCCTATATAGCTGTAATATGTCCGAGAACGGCGTTCAACAACAAAATATTAATTGATTACATGACCGTGACGAACAAAGTCACAACCAGTCAAGGGGGATTCGTCACTTCTCTGGAACTCACTCATGACAGTGGTGAAATTAACTCACCAATAACCATTGAAATATTGGTGAACAGTGAATTCCACGTAGTACAGAACCACAAGTCGGTAAGAGCGAAAGATAACTCACCTGTACAATCAGTTCCGATGGTACTACCAACAGTTGTTGCAAGGGAGATAACTGTTTCACTCTCCCTACAAGTGGGACCAGTTTTGCCTTTGAGGCAATCCACAAACGTTTTCTTTACACTGGTAAAATACGTAAATACTTTAGCGGGAGGCGTGTCGTAAATGTAGAACATATGACCAAAAATACACATTAACATGCATCACTGCCATATCAGCAATACAGCAACTTGTGTGTGTATGACATATCGATCACTAACAATTACAGAAAATACCCTATCTACGAGGAATTACGGATCGTCTGTCCCGAATGAATTCCTTATGTAAGTTCTGAATCTTAGCGAAGAAAGTTTAATATTAATTCGCGAGAGGCAGATAATACATTCTTCCGACTAGGTTATTCATAATATTACCAAAATATTCGGGAGTAGAAAATGTGTGAAAAAGTGGGTTTTCTGATCTCAAGCGTGTAAGGGCAACTTTATAATTTCTTTGGATTTTTTTAAAGCATTTTTACACAAGGCTTTTGGTTTAACTCGGAAATAGAATTATTTTTTCAGAAAGAAATGTATTACTTTCCCTGAATTTGTTTCACTCTGAAAGACATACAAGTTATTTAAAGGGACTTAACCCTTCGACCAATGCAGTCGTCTTCTTAATCAACAGCTTCTCAAAGTTATAAGGAATCGATTTAAGGATTAATGTGTAGCTGTTTATATTTTCTGTTCTATGCGACGTTGATTCAAACCCAAAAAGCAAAAGAAAACAGCTTCAACTGCGATGAACTCATAATTAATATTTTCAAATGCTTATGAACTTGAATAAAGTGAAGTGATAGCAAGAATAAAATGTTACAATCAATATACAAATAAAACAATTTTGAAATTCACAAATATTATGTGCATTTATGAGTGACATTATTTCTCATAACATTATTTGCTTTATCTTCGTTTTGACTTTTTCATGTATTTACTTATGTGTGTTGACCGGTTTGACTAGTAGCGGTTTGACTGTACCACTGCACCACTCTTCCCACACACTCACGTGCATCTGGTGGCCGTGACGGAGATATCCGCGAGGGCGTAAGTCTTCTCACACTGACACGTGTCCGTGAACGCTGAAATAAACAACATGAAGAACTGAAACGGCGATCGACACAATAAGAGAAAATAATTTACAAACAACACCATTTCAAATGAGCCCTAAAGAGACGGTATTCTTACGTTATTCCAATTAACAACGAATGTATCTGGTTTATATTGTTTGTTATTATATCAATATCGGGCGAGGGAGGGGGGCAACTCTGAAATTACTTCTTGGATGACTCATTGGCATCAGAAAACATTCAATGCATATTCGCATCGTGTTGTTTGCAGTGCATAAATCAATACGTATTGACTAGGGTGGGAGATTTGTTTGGCTGATTTCAGTCATACCATCTGTACGGCCTAGGGGTAATGTAAGGCCATATCTGTGTTACTACAGACACAGACTGATGCAAAGAAGTCAACATACCATCTGCACGACCTGGAGGTAATGTGAGGCCATATCTGTGTTACTACAGACACAGACTGATGCAAAGAAGTCAACATACCATCTGCATGTCCTGCAGGTAATGTAAGGCCATATATGTGTTACTACAAATACAGACTGATGCAAAGAAGTCAACATACCAGCTGCACGGCCTGGAGGTAATGTAAGACTATATCTGTGTTACTACAGACACAGACTTATGCAAAGAAGTCAACATACCATCTGCATGTCCTGGGGGTAATGTAAGACTATATCTGTGTTACTACAGACACAGACTGATGCAAAGAAGTCAACATATCATCTGTACGGCCTGGAGGTAATGTAAGGCCATATCTGTGATACTATAGACACAGATTGATGCAAAGAAGTCAACATACCAGCTGCACGACCTGGAGGTAATGTGAGGCCATATCTGTGTTACTACAGACACAGACTGATGCAAAGAAGTCAACATACCAGCTGCATGGCCTGGAGGTAATGTAAGGCCATATCTGTGTTACTACAGACACAGACTGATGCAAAGAAGTCAACATACCAGCTGCACGACCTGGAGGTAATGTGAGGCCATATCTGTGTTACTACAGACACAGACTGATGCAAAGAAGTCAACATACCAGCTGCACGGCCTGGAGGTAATGTAAGGCCATATCTGTGTTACTACAGACACAGACTGATGCAAAGAAGTCAACATACCATCTGCACGACCTGGAGGTAATGTGAGGCCATATCTGTGTTACTACAGACACAGACTGATGCAAAGAAGTCAACATACCATCTGCATGTCCTGCAGGTAATGTAAGGCCATATCTGTGTTACTACAGACACAGACTGATGCAAAGAAGTCAACATACCATCTGCACGGCCTGGAGGTAATGTAAGACTATATCTGTGTTACTACAGACACAGACTTATGCAAAGAAGTCAACATACCATCTGCATGTCCTGGGGGTAATGTAAGACTATATCTGTGTTACTACAGACACAGACTGATGCAAAGAAGTCAACATATCATCTGTACGGCCTGGAGGTAATGTAAGGCCATATCTGTGATACTATAGACACAGATTGATGCAAAGAAGTCAACATACCAGCTGCACGACCTGGAGGTAATGTGAGGCCATATCTGTGTTACTACAGACACAGACTGATGCAAAGAAGTCAACATACCAGCTGCACGGCCTGGAGGTAATGTGAGGCCATATCTGTGTTACTAAACAGACACAGACTGATGCAAAGAAGTCAACATACCATCTGCACGACCTGGAGGTAATGTGAGGCCATATCTGTGTTACTAAACAGACACAGACTGATGCAAAGAAGTCAACATACCATCTGCACGACCTGGAGGTAATGTGAGGCCATATCTGTGTTACTAAACAGACACAGACTGATGCAAAGAAGTCAACATACCATCTGCATGTCCTGCAGGTAATGTAAGACTATATCTGTGTTACTGCAGACACAGACTGATGCAAAGAAGTCAACATACCATCTGCATGTCCTGCAGGTAATGTAAGACTATATCTGTGTTACTGCAGACACAGACTGATGCAAAGAAGTCAACACTCCAGCTGCACGGCCTGGAGGTAATGTAAGGCCATATCTGTGGTACTACAGACACAGACTGATGCAAAGGGGTCAACATACCATCTGCACGGCCTGGGGGTAATGTAACTAATGTCACTACAGACACAGTCAGATACAACAGAAGTCAACGTAATGTGAGGTTATGTGATAACATGATACAACAGAAGAGAAGTCAACGCACCTGCTGCACAGCCTCCAATAGCATTGATGTCTGTTTCTGTGGAAGTGGCTACAGTGTGGCCTTTGGTAGTGGTGTCGCACGCCGCATCTGTCACTCCACCAATACATCCAAGTTTCTGCTTCTCACTCCTGTCAACAGACATCTCAAGTCATAAGTAGGTTGTATGACAGTATTAGTTGAAACTAAGTAACACCTTTTTATGTACATATTTGTACAGCTACTTGGACCCGTCGACGAGAGGAGACAAGTCTGCCCTAAAGGTTTACGATGCCGCAAGTCAGTGTACATAGTTGCGTCCCTTAGCCACGCCAGGAAACGCTGGTCGTGGTTTAAATCCGATATTTCTCTGTTATGCTGCTCTTTGATTTGTCAGCACCAGCGTCATGCTTATTGCTTGAACCACTTTTAATTGCACGGTAGTCTACGACCTACGTCACATTAAATTCGCTGAATTTGAGCTGACTCCTCGTGATATGACTGAAATAGTATTAAAAGCGGCGCTTAACGACGAACCAGATTCACAGTTTGGGAGCATGCATTGTGATCCAGTAGTCCATCAATGGCTTTCCAGATGGGGAATGTCTTCGCCGTATTGATAAGATATGCAACCATGGTAACAATAAGTGCATAGTCAACATGTTTTATTTATTATGATATAAGAACAGCAGATTCTAACCAAGGTCACACAAATGGCTCCAATAATATTGGTGCGATACTCATGCATATTGGTTCATGCAAACAGATGGCAGGTTCCGTTTGTGTTTAAAACTCGTTGAAGGACAAGAGTTGTCATTTTGGAGCTTCCAAGAAGAGCATCAGCGTCCAGACGTTTTCGTCTACAGGTCCACACTGATCCGTGCCCTATAGCTGAGCCTGCGTTATAATCCATGATATATGTTTGCTTCCGTGTGTGCGTTTGTATGTTTGCGCGCCTACGTTCGTGTCTGTGTGTGGTAAAATACCCAAATACCATTGTGTGTGTTTGAAACACTACTTACTCGCATAGACTGGGTGTACCCTGGGACCACCGAAGGAGGTGGTCTTTTTGACAGGTACACAGGGCGGTCTGAGCTGAAAGGTAAGAGAAGTATAATAATAGAACAGTTTTCAGTGATAGTCTCAAAGACATACACAGTTGAAATGCCATACATCACTACATTGGACACGTTGCCAGTTGTTATACATCATCACATGTCATATATTCCTATATTCTATAAATTGCTATATGTCATACTTTGGGACATTACGCCTACTGCAATAAGAAAGCACTCTCACACACATGAGTTTGGTGATGAAAGACCAGTGACCATAATCTCGGTGAATCTGGGATTTCGAACCCAAGATCGCTTGAACCTGGTGTGACAGCCACGCAATAAATCCCAAAGAATAATAAAGAACGAAGCGTGGTTTATTTCACGATAAAACATTGTTCTATCATGACGCCATTTCTGGAGATTCGAACATGCGCTCGCAACTTGATGACGTCGTATATATGACGACGTTTATTTTTGAGAGGGGCGGTCGGGTAGCCTAGTGGTTAAAGCGTTCGCTCGTCACGCCGAAGACCCGGGTTCGAATCCCGACATGGGTACAATGTGTGAAGCCCATTTGTGGTGTCTCCCCCCCCCCCCCCCCCCCCCCCCCCCCCCGGATTTATTGCTGGAATATTGCTAAAAGCGGCGTAAAACCAAACTCACTCACTCACTATTTTTGAGAGGGGAGTGTCCTGTAAGTTGTTCCCATGAAGCTGGACAACGCATATAAACGCGATGGCAGAACGACCGCATCCCAAAGCGATAGAGATATGATAATCGTATCGGGAGAAAAGATACAGGGCATCGAAGTGAGGATTGGGAGAATATGCGGGAAATACCCACCTGTGCATGAGATGGACTTGTCCGACATTGCCGAGGTCGGATTCTATTGAGGGAGTCATCATTATTTACATACGGGCAAATGTTTTTAAAGCTTGTACTATCTATCGCCATCATTAAAGAGGCTGTACATAACGTTGATATCTCATAAAAGAAATAAACGACTCATGGTGTATTCTCCCTGCAGTGTTTTATATTACGATAAACAACTCCCACTCGTCGTTTGTTTCTTAAATATACTATACATGAAGTAAACCATCAGAGATGTAATTTTGGATTACTCTCAAGAGTAAACGTGATGCAAACATACTTGAGCACACTCTAATATAACCTTACACACTTATTATAGATTAAGATATACACTTCAAGGGACAGGTGTTTAAGGATTGTAATGTTTAACCCTTCTCACTAGATCAGTTGGGATATTTACAGTTTGCGTTGAAAATAGAGAACATCACATTGAAACTTTACTGCCTGATGCTGTGTTGCAGTGTTATTGTTGCGGATGAGATTAGTAGAAAGTATGACTCACAACAGCCTCCAATTTGTCCAATAAACGAAGCCATGTTGAGACCCGATGTTGGACATCCGGGATTTACGGCATCCTCCATACAAGTAATGAAGGCATAGGCAACACTGAAATATAATTTAGAGATCAAGGTGAACAGAAAAGAAGTATTACTTTGAAATGTTCAGATGATGTCATTCGAATCTTGCACCCGGTGTTATCAGTCGTACTTTGCATATTTTTTAGAATTTAAATATGTTTAAAAATGTTTACGACAAAATGCTTACTAGTATCATTATGTATAATCCTAATAACCTAAATATGTTTTTAATTTATTAACGTACCTGGATGTTATGTAAGGCCATTGGTAATTGAGATGAATATGGATAAGATGCATACTATATACTGAAATCAGATGTGCAAATCAGACTCACTGGCACTTGCATAACACATATACCACCAGGGCTTAGCACGAACTTGGTACAATAATGACATAAACTGTACAAATAACCCAAGCTAATTTCATAATGACTAGGAAAGGTGACACACAGGTGCTAGAGTGAAGAACGTATCCCGCCTAGTTTTTAAAAGTGGTGTGGTCGATAATGTGTTGTTGCTGTATGACAATGGTATTTCTCTCATACAGGAACATAAGCTGACAATGAAAGTATATCTGATTACTATGATAAATTACCTACAATGAATTTCAAGGGGGGAATGCAGTTCCTTCAAACATTAAGACCTTAAACACGTTTAGCTCTTAAACGCATTATACTTAACATGGTCAGACCTAAACATGTCAAAAGTATGCGTCAAGGAACGTGTTTAGGTTGGTGTTGTGGGATCTAAACACGTTTTTACAGTGTAGTCGTCAGTCCTCATCTGTTTCGTGATGAGTAATTATGATAAAACTCAATCGATTATTCACTTCTATATATGATTCTCGAGCTATGTGGTACCAGTCAATCATTGTCCTAGTAATAGGACATGATGAAACACACATGAAGTATGTAAAAGAAGTATTACCTTGGACATGTTACACAAGGCGATATTATAGTAATAGGACATGATGAAACATACATGAAGTATGTAAAAGAAGTATTACCTTGCACATGTTACACAAGGCGATATATATAGTAATAGGACATGATGAAACATACATGAAGTATGTAAAAGAAGTATTACCTTGGACATGTTACATAAGGCGATATATATAGTAATAGGACATGATGAAACATACATGAAGTATGTAAAATAAGTATTACCTTGGACATGTTACACAAGGCAATATATATAGTAATAGGACATGATGAAACATACATGAAGTATGTAAAAGAAGTATTACCTTGCACATGTTACACAAGGCGATATATATAGTAATAGGACATGATGAAACATACATGAAGTATGTAAAATAAGTATTACCTTGGACATGTTACACAAGGCGATATATATAGTAATAGGACATGATGAAACATACATGAAGTATGTAAAAGAAGTATTACCTTGCACATGTTAAACAAGGCGATATTATAGTAATAGGACATGATGAAACATACATGAAGTATGTAAAATAGGTATTACCTTGGACATGTTACACAAGGCGATATATATAGTAATAGGACATGATGAAACATACATGAAGTATGTAAAATAAGTATTACCTTGGACATGTTAAACAAGGCGATATTATAGTAATAGGACATGATGAAACATACATAAAGTATGTAAAAGAAGTATTACCTTGGACATGTTACACAAGGCGATATTATAGTAATAGGACATGATGAAACATACATGAAGTATGTAAAAGAAGTATTACCTTGGACATGTTACACAAGGCGATATATATAGTAATAGGACATGATGAAACATACATGAAGTATGTAAAAGAAGTATTACCTTGGACATGTTAAACAAGGCGATATTATAATAATAGGACATGATGAAACATACATGAAGTATGTAAAAGAAGTATTACCTTGGACATGTTACACAAGGTGATATATATAGTAATAGGACATGATGAAACATACATGAAGTATGTAAAAGAAGTATTACCTTGGACATGTTAAACAAGGCGATATTATAGTAATAGGACATGATGAAACATACATGAAGTATGTAAAAGAAGTATTACCTTGGACATGTTACACAAGGCGATATTATAGTAATAGGACATGATGAAACATACATGAAGTATGTAAAAGAAGTATTACCTTGGACATGTTAAACAAGGCGATATTATAGTAATAGGACATGATGAAACATACATAAAGTATGTAAAAGAAGTATTACCTTGGACATGTTACACAAGGCGATATTATAGTAATAGGACATGATGAAACATACATGAAGTATGTAAAAGAAGTATTACCTTGGACATGTTACACAAGGCGATATATATAGTAATAGGACATGATGAAACATACATGAAGTATGTAAAAGAAGTATTACCTTGGACATGTTAAACAAGGCGATATTATAATAATAGGACATGATGAAACATACATGAAGTATGTAAAAGAAGTATTACCTTGGACATGTTACACAAGGTGATATATATAGTAATAGGACATGATGAAACATACATGAAGTATGTAAAAGAAGTATTACCTTGGACATGTTAAACAAGGCGATATTATAGTAATAGGACATGATGAAACATACATGAAGTATGTAAAAGAAGTATTACCTTGGACATGTTACACAAGGCGATATTATAGTAATAGGACATGATGAAACATACATGAAGTATGTAAAAGAAGTATTACCTTGGACATGTTACACAAGGCGATATATATAGTAATAGGACATGATGAAACATACATGAAGTATGTAAAAGAAGTATTACCTTGGACATGTTACACAAGGCGATATATATAGTAATAGGACATGATGAAACACACATGAAGTATGTAAAATAAGTATTACCTTGGACATGTTACACAAGGCGATATTATAGTAATAGGACATGATGAAACATACATGAAGTATGTAAAAGAAGTATTTCCTTGCACATGTTACACAAGGCGATATATATAGTAATAGGACATGATGAAACATACATGAAGTATGTAAAATAAGTATTACCTTGGACATGTTACATAAGGCGATATATATAGTAATAGGACATGATGAAACATACATGAAGTATGTAAAATAAGTATTTCTTTGGACATGTTACACAAGGCGATATATATAGTAATAGGACATGATGAAACATACATGAAGTATGTAAAAGAAGTATTACCTTGCACATGTTAAACAAGGCGATATATATAGTAATAGAACATGATGCAACATACATGAAGTATGTAAAAGAAGTATTACCTTGGACATGTTACACAAGGCGATATATATAGTAATAGGACATGATGAAACATACATGAAGTATGTAAAAGAAGTATTACCTTGGACATGTTAAACAAGGCGATATTATAGTAATAGGACATGATGAAACATACATGAAGTATGTAAAATAAGTATTACCTTGGACATGTTACACAAGGCGATATATATAGTAATAGGACATGATGAAACATACATGAAGTATGTAAAAGAAGTATTACCTTGCACATGTTACACAAGGCGATATATATAGTAATAGGACATGATGAAACATACATGAAGTATGTAAAATAAGTATTACCTTGGACATGTTACACAAGGCGATATATATAGTAATAGGACATGATGAACCATACATGAAGTATGTAAAAGAAGTATTACCTTGTACATGTTAAACAAGGCGATATTATAGTAATAGGACATGATGAAACATACATGAAGTATGTAAAATAAGTATTACCTTGTACATGTTACACAAGGCGATATATATAGTAATAGGACATGATGAAACATACATGAAGTATGTAAAAGAAGTATTACCTTGGACATGTTAAACAAGGCGATATTATAGTAATAGGACATGATGAAACACACATGAAGTATGTAAAATAAGTATTACCTTGGACATGTTACACAAGGCGATATTATAGTAATAGGACATGATGAAACATACATGAAGTATGTAAAAGAAGTATTACCTTGCACATGTTACACAAGGCGATATATATAGTAATAGGACATGATGAAACATACATGAAGTATGTAAAAGAAGTATTACCTTGCACATGTTAAACAAGGCGATATTATAGTAATAGGACATGATGAAACTTACATAAAGTATGTAAAAGAAGTATTACCTTGGATATGTTAAACAAGGCGATATTATAGTAATAGGACATGATGAAACATACATGAAGTATGTAAAATAAGTATTACCTTGGACATGTTACACAAGGCGATATTATAGTAATAGGACATGATGAAACATACATGAAGTATGTAAAAGAAGTATTACCTTGCACATGTTACACAAGGCGATATATATAGTAATAGGACATGATGAAACATACATGAAGTATGTAAAAGAAGTATTACCTTGCACATGTTACACAAGGCGATATATATAGTAATAGGACATGATGAAACATACATGAGTGAGTGAGTGAGTGAGTTGGATTTAATGTCGCTTTTAACAGTATTCCAGTTATATCGCGGCGTGTCAGCTAATGTGGGAGGAAAGCCCGAAGTGATGCAGGTCTCCGACGCGGGTATGGTGCTGACAAACCTAGAAACATAATCGGGGCGAACCGGGATTCGAACCCATAATCATAGGTTTCGAGGGCGCTCGGAACATGAACGTGCTGTCGTTGGCCGTCGAGCTCGGGTCACAAGTCAAGTCAAACTTTATTTATAGGCCTCAGGCCAGACACAAATGGTAACACACAGTACACATCCAAGCGCACGATGCGCGGCACAACATTTCAGATGAAACACGACTTGAGACTTGCTCCCCTACTAATCCCGACCCACCCATCCACTAGATGCCTTAGTGTATACATAATTACAAATATTTTCATATCTTGATAATAATGAATTCTTTCTTTCATTCATAATGTGGTACACACACTTTGCCAATCGAACAATGACATCTCTGCGACAGTCTTGCATTAACTGGACATTTGGAAACACTAGGGTATAACTATGAGTAATTTGGCAAAAACAGCCGTATCAACTCTGTATATTTTGGACACATTATTAAAACATGGTATTCGTCCTCTATATCAGTTTCACAAAATGAATATTAACGCTGTTCTTGCTGTAATTTGGGTTTAACCCATCTCCCATTTTCAGTCATGGACATGAACTGAGCCTAAAACGTGCTAGAGCTACTCGGTATTTTACAACATGAATACTATTAAGATACATTTCAAATCATACGAAATCCTTCATTGATAGGCGCAGTCTGGTTTCGCTAAGACTTTATAATTGGTTTTTCCACATCTGTAAATATATATCATGAATTCGCTGCTTAAATTCCGACAAAAATCCAGTTTCATTTACAATAACTTGACCCAGCCAAACATATCCGAACCAAAACAGCCCAACTTTCTTCATTTGGATGACTTAACATCATTTCTAAAAGAGCTTCACGCACAATTCTAAAATATCGTTTTGGATCACACTTTAAGATTTTCATCCAATATTTAATAATTCTAATAAACCGCACACTTATCAATCGTAGTACTCCGAATTCACCATTAACATATGTCGATGGTGTAGATAATTTAACACCTAGTATCTTTTTAATAAATCTAAGATGTACTCTTTCAATTGCATTAGCCTCCCTAAAACCCCACACCTCACATCCATAAAACAATATGGGGTGAATAAATGATTGAAATAACTAGAACTGGATATCAACAGAAATATACTTATTACTATTAATAACTCTGTACAATGAAAATGAAGCTTTTTTTTGCCTGTTCAGATAAAGTGTTTTGAGATTCTGAAAAAATACCAGAGGGTGTAAACACAAGACCGAGAATTAGAAATAAGTAACTATAGGATCTAAACCCAAGTGAGTATCTATTGGATGAGCTTGCAGTACGTTTACTTAACATTAACCAGGGCTGCAGAATCTGCATAGCGAATGGGCTGCCGTTCAACAAGATGCCATCCGCAGGCTTATTTGTTCCATGGGGGTGTCGTGCAGTCATTCTGGCAATGGTGGACATACACGGTACTAGTCTTTGCCACTGTAATGATTGAGATAGTGAACTCTTTCATTTTCTAATCTTCCAAACATACATCCCACGTATTGCTTTTAAAACCTTGTAGAAGTCTCAGAGTGAACCTCTTTAAAACCATATATGAGTTTCCTTGTTGAAGTCGACATTAACAGATGTCTCCGAAAGTGGTTATTCGCTGTAGTCTACGGTAAATCAGTTCTGTATGTTGTTCCAGGGGCGTCGTACCTGTCAGTATTTACCTATAATCAACAGTCAGCCATCCTCTTCATTATTGTGAGCAAGTAATTACCAACAAGAAATAATCTTCCATACAGTTTTCTGTCAGTTATTACGAATATGGTCGACAGTCAATCATTATCTACATAGTTATCTGTAGGTACTCACCTGCATGGTCGACAGTCAATCATTATCTACATAGTTCTCTGTAGGTACTCACCTGCATGGTCGACAGTCAATCATTATCTACATAGTTATCTGTAGGTACTCAACTGCATGGTCGACAGTCAATCAGTATCTACATAGTTATCTGTAGGTACTCAACTGCATGGTCGACAGTCAATCATTATCTACATAGTTATCCGTAGGTACTCACCTGCATGGTCGACAGTCAATCATTATCTACATAGTTATCTATAGGTACCCACGTGCATGGTCAACAGTCAATCATTATCAACATAGTTATCTATAGGTACCCACCTGCATGGTCAACAGTCAATCATTATCTACATAGTTATCTGTAGGTACCCACCTGCATGGTCGACAGTCAATCATTATCAAAATAGTTATCTGTAGGTACCCACCTGCATGGCCAAATGTGAATCATTATCTACACAGTTATCTGTAGGTACCCACCTGCATGGCCAAATGTGAATCATTATCTACATAGTTATATGTAGGTACCCACCTGCATGGCCAAATGTGAATCATTATCTACATAGTTATCTGTAGGTACCCACCTGCATGGCCAAATGTGAATCATTATCTACACAGTTATCTGTAGGTACCCACCTGCATGGCCAAATGTGAATCATTATCTACATAGTTATCTGTAGGTACCCACCTGCATGGCCAAATGTGAATCATTATCTACACAGTTATCTGTAGGTACCCACCTGCATCGCCAAATGTGAATCATTATCTACATAGTTATCTGTAGGTACCCACCTGCATGGTCAACAGTCAATCATTATCTACATAGTTATCTGTAGGTACCCACCTGCATGGCCAAATGTGAATCATTATCTACATAGTTATCTGTAGGTACACACCTGCATGGCCAAATGTGAATCATAAACGGTATGGTATAACCGGTCAATGCTTTTTTACAGAGTAATGTCAACAGTCAATCATCTTCAGTTAGTTATCTGCCAGAATTCATCGGTATTGTGAACAGTCATTCTGTACAGAACATGTAAAGTACTGTTGGAAATGCTAGAAAACTGCCTTTTGTCTGTTTAAAAAAAGGATATAATTTATTCCTTAAATAAGTTAGAATTGGCACACGCGCATATCAATTTGTCCCTTTTCTCAAAACTCAAGAGATACAACCATTTCAATAAGCATCCTTAGTACGATTCCTCCTATGTCATTAACACGACTTTTCCACTAACCATTTGGTTCTTTCCAATTTGTTTTGTCAAAAGTAGTTTAGTTGTATGATGACTAGTACACGATGACGGTTTTTTTCTTACGTGCATGTTTTGGTGGCAGCATCGTAAGTCGCCCAGCACTCGTCACACGACGCCCCTTCAGCTCCCACCGACAGCACTGAAATTGACGTGAAAAAAGTCAGGTGAGTGTGTGTATAAGCGTTTGACAACTGATATAAAACTCAGCTCAACAACGTGACATACATTGGCAACGTTGTGTAAATAATCGCCGGCGTATGACTCAAAGGACATGTTATCAAACCGTAGAAATGAATGGGTTTGCCGTGGTGTGACGAGCCTTTTATGAACACTCATCATGGGAAAGAGACCTGTGACACGTCATTTTAGTAATATTTTCATTGAAATTCAGTGACGAGCATCCTCATTTAGAACACCTGAAGAAAATATGTTACGGTGTACTTTATACACTCTTTAAAAAAAGAAACGGACAGGTAGATGTTTAGTAAAATTATTGTAAATAATAAAGTCGATATATGTAATTAAAAATTAGATACAAAGATGACATTTTGGAGCTCAATGTTGTCGTTATACAAAGGCATTGAAAACTGTTCCTTGTCATGTCACATAAGGCCACAAGATTGCGCTGAACTCAGTATTTCGTTTGACCGCCCCGGGGAGCAATCACGGCTCTGCATCTCCTCGGCACTGACTGGATACGAATTCTGTCCTGCGGAATTCTGCGCCATTCTGCTTGTAAGGCGTTGGCCAGTTGTGGGAGTGTCTGCGGTGTGATCTGACGTTGACGTACGCGTCGATCGAGTTTATCTCAGAGGTGTTCGATTGGGTTGAGATCTGGAGATCTCGACGGCCAGGGCAAGACGTTGATGTTGGCATTATGAAGTTTACCGTGACACGAACTGTGTGCGGTGGAGCCTTGTCCTGTTGAAACAGCTCCCTCTCGCGGTCAATGATTGGAAGAAGGTGAGGTTGAAGAATTTGATTCATGTAGCGATTTGCTGTCAAATTTCCCTGAACCACAACCATGTCAGATCTCGTGATGTAGGATATGGCCCCCAACACCATGACACTACCGCCACCGAAATTGTCGAATTCACGTACATAATGTGGGGCAAAACGCTCATTTCGACGACGATAAACACGTTGTCTCGCCGGTGAAGAAGAAATCGTGATTCATCGCTAAACCATACTCGTCTCCAGTTTCTCAAATTTCCAAGGCTGTCAGGTATGGCACCAACGCAAGCGTCGCTGTCGATGGATCTGTTGCAAACCAGGGACGAAAACTGGTCTTCTGGGTCGGATTCGAGCCTCGCGAAGATGGTTTCTGAGAGTCTTGTCCGATATCCTCCTCAAACCAGGGATGCATCCTGCAGTCTCAGTAGCCGTGGCATTGCAATGGCGTAGGTGGAACAGTTGAATGTAGCGATACTGTGCAGGGATGGTAACTCTTGGTCGGCCGGTGCTCGGACGGTCTGCAGTAGAATTGAACTGTGTGTATCGGTCCCAAAGGCGGCAAACAGTGCTGTGGTGGACGTTGAAGTGGCGTGCAACAGAAGACTGCGATTCCCCTCTTTGCGTACGTCCTATGGCGATGTTCCGATCGACAGCGCTGAGTCTCGGCATTTTCGAACTTGAAAAATGTTGACAATTGAATGACAAATTATTGGCTTATGCATGCCTTTTTATAGCCACTACCACGAGTTACGAATGCCATAACTTGCACGTGCTTTTGGCTTTACTGTTTCCCTCCATGACATTTTCGAACAAGTGTGAAAATAATGCCGTTTAAGACATTGCAACTCGAAAATGGCTGTGTTTTTGTCGAATATCAGACCACCAACAACATATTTCCAATAACATATATCCAATTTATATACCGGATTTTTGTGTAATCTTGTTCAATGAACTACGTACTACCTGTGCGTTTCTTGTTTTGAAGAGTGTAGTAGGGATTAGGATATCTCCCAAATATAGTTTAAAGAAAGTCAATGGGTATTGTCCTCAGCAGTATTACAGCAGTACTAAATCGGCTTGTATATAATGTGTAGGCAAACCACTGAATCTATGAGAACGATGACGCACTATCAGCCAAATCATCGAGCTTGACTACCCGATCCTTTTCAGTCTCCTCTTACAACGAGACCGCCTCCGTGGTCTAGTGGTAGAGCGTCCGCCCGGAGAGCGGAAGGTCCCTCGATCCCCGACCCCGTCATACCAAAAGACGTTAAAAGATGGTACTTGTTGTTACCCTGTCTGGCGCTCGGCATTAGGGGGTTAAACAAGGACTGGTCGCCTCGGAGTCAGTAAACTGTGTCTGAGTGGGGTATTCATGTTAAACTGCGGCATGATATCTCAGTGGGCCAGCACTATACATCAGCATCAGTCCGGACTAGTACAAGCAGCCATACAAACACACACGCGTACATGCACGTCGCTATGTAAGTGCAATAATCTTGGACGCGACGTTAAACCCAATTTCACCTCACCCCACCTCTTCCGAGCGTGGGATATTTGTAACCTATTCTATCCGGAAACCCCAGTAAGTAGTGTAATAGCATTTACACGGAAGATATTGTTTACGAGTAGAACCAACGTTTCGATGTCCACTTCACATTTTCACAAATATTCATATCCAGATGCCTTCGGTAAGTGAAAGTTTCTGGCCTTCAAGACCTTAAACAGATATAGTTGTTGTTTGTTGTTTAACGCCGCACTCAGCAACATTCGAACTGTATGACGGCGGTCTGGAAAAAAATCGAATCTGCACCAGACAATCCAGTGATTGACATCGTGAGCATTGATCCACGCAATTGGGATCGATGACATGCATCATCCAAGTCAGCGAGCCTGACCGGTAGTCGCCTCTTACGACAAGCATAGTCGCCGTTCAATGATTTTTTTTATGACGGCATTCTTTAAATAAACGAGTCTGGCCAGACAATCCAATGATTGACATGAGCAACGATCCACGCAACTAGGATGCGATGACGTTCAAACAACCAAGTCACCGAGTCTGATCACACGACCTAGTGAGTCGCCACTTACGCCAAGCAGTTGCTGGGGGTCTAGTTTCTTGTAAACCCGGAATCCATGCTGGTATCAATAATGTCAACTCGCCGTCATACAGCTGAAACATTGCCGAGTGCGGCGTTAAACAACAAATAACAAACAAACAAAATAATGTCAACTCACCTGCTATTACTTCGAGAAACAGAATAACTATAGCCATTGCACATTGACATGAACCGACTGTGGAGTGGGGAGGGAATGTTATATGGGCGTTCAGCGTTCAAATCGAAACTAGCGTTCCCTGTGTGTGTATATATATTTAAGACCGTTCAGTTTGAACAGCAAAGCATGACGAGCACACCTTTCATCTCTGCCTTTGTGATGCACGGTTAAATACACAGGTGCATCTATTATTTATTTGCCTGTTTTGCTCCGAGTGCGAAATACGCTACAGTCGGAAAGCGCACGTTAAATCTCCTATATCAGTCAGTCCGAATTCACTTCCTGGTTACGTATCGTGATCATCATGATTCAGTTTACAATATGTTTGTTTGTTTGCTTGTTTTTTTAACGTCACACTCAAATTTACTTGCATAATTCTGAATAACTATCCAAAAGTAGTTCGTTGGTCTAAGGATATCGATGTTGTTAATGGAGTGTGCACAAAATGTTGTAGTGTCATATCGAAGATGAATTTCAGGTTTTGTTGATTTGCGATGGTTATCAACATGTTAGAAGAACCTGTCTTCTTGAATTGCGTATTAAGCATAAAGAGAGGCAATTGATGATACATCTTCTCAATTCAGATAAGACTGATGTGATAAAATATAATGCTATTTTCTTAAAACATTTATCTTCTATAAGCTGAAACTGTTTCACAAAACCACGTGACTAACTGATGTATATGAAACAAACTGTACGGAATGACCTATTTGTATCTGTCACCATCACCAATATTCCAGATATGTCACGTCGGCCTGTTAATAATCGAATGGGAACCAGACAATCCAGTGATTGATATTATGAGCAACCTCCCACGCCATTTAGATACGATAAACGTTATCGCTGTAATAACTAGAAACTAGAAATCCCACGAGAAGTATTTCAAACTCCATTATTACATAATTATGAGTGAGCGATTAATGTTCAACGCCACAGTCGTGATGCGTTTTCATGGCATGTAAATAAAGACATTTGGAGAAGCAAAACCCGAGATTGACAATATGAGCAACGTCCACTGACCCACAAAATCACCTCGTACGAGGCATAGATTGTTGAGGGGTGATGCCATTTGACAATTATCTAACTGTAAAAAAGACTACACCATTTCACTACTTTACTGGACTCACATATTGCATGCGACGGCTCTTAAAATAATTATTTTGCGAGTCAATGTAGAACGCCTGATGGGGCTGTGGTAGACACACGGGGGGGGGGGGGGGGGGGGGGGGGGGGGGGGGGAATGTCACGCCTCATGGGGCTGTGTGGAGGACACACGGTGGAGGAATGTCACGCCTCATGGAGCTGGTGTAGACACACGGGGGAGGTATGTCACGGCTCTTGGGGCTGTGGAGGACACACGGGGGAGGTATGTCACTCCTCATGGGGCTGTGGAGGACACATGGGGGAGGAATGTCTCTCCTCATGGGGTTGTGGAGGACATACGGGGGAGGAATGTCACTCCTCATGGTGCTGTAGAGGACACACGGGGAGGAATGTCACGCCTCATGGGGTTGTGGAGGACATACGGGGGAGGAATGTCACTCCTCTTGGGGCTGTAGAGGACACACGGGGAGGAATGTCACGCCTCATGGGGCTGTGGAAGACATACCGGGGAGGAATGTCACTCCTCTTGGGGCTGTGGAGGACATACGGGGGAGGAATGTCACTCCTCTTGGGGCTGTGGAGGACACACGGGGGAGTAATGAGTATAAAAGCGGCGTTAAACCCAACTGACTGACTCACTCATTGTTCGTGGCTTTACGCCGCACTATCTTTATGTGAATCAATATGTGTTTATTCATACTTAGGACAGACCACAGGCCCACAGTAGATGTTATATAGTAATGCGTGTATATACATTTACAAGGTAACACATGTGGAACTTCCGGAGTCCGGAAGGTCCGGAGTTCGATCCCCGGCCGCGTCATACAAAAAGACGTTAAAAGATGGTACTTGTTGTTACCCTGTATGGCGCTCGGCATTAAGGGGCTAAAACAAGGACTGGTCGGTATACTGTGTCTGAGTGGGGTATTTATGTTAAACTGCGGCATGGTATCTCAGTGAGCTAGCACTATAAATTGGCATCAGTCAAGACTAGTACAAGCAGCCACACAAACACATATACGTACATGCACGTCGCTATATAAGTGCAATGATCTTGGACGCGACGTTAAACCCAATTTCACCTCACCTCACCTCCCCTCCCCTCTCAGCTTCATAGCATGCAATAAGTACATGGATTTTTTCCGTTATTTCTGCATTGTAACTTGACATTAACGGAACAAATTTCGGTAAATATGATATTTATCACTGAAATGTTTTCGGGCATATTAGTAATAAAGGGTATTCACTTTCTACGGTGTTTAAATCACAAAACTGACAAATTCTGTGTGTGTGTAAATGAAGAGTTTATTACGTGTATTTGGACGGCAGACACAGGTCTTTCTGACTGGACTTCGTGGGAGAGCAGGGTGTGTTACCGCGACTGTTATACCTATCAACGGCGTTTCAATGACACAAGGACAAGGACTTGTCTCCTAGATAGCTGTCTGGGCGAGCTGAGCGAGGAACGAACCCGGGACTGCACAACCTACTGTGATGATTGCCTCCTCGGTAAATAGGTAAAGCTTAGGGGGAGTGAATGAGTGAGTATTGTTTTACGCCGCTTTTAGCAATATTGCAGCAATATCACGGCGGGGGACACTAGAAATGGGCTTCACACATTGTACCCATGTGGGGAATCGAACCAGGTCTTCGGCGTGACGAGCGAACGCTTAAACAACCAGGCTAAACCCCGGTAAAGCTTAGGAAGACATTAATAGTAGCGAATTTTGTTGGAGACGTTATTTTTGGTTAACGAGTTATAGGTTAGAGAAGAACAGGGTGCGTGTGTGTAGTGTGGGTAGGGGTGTCACAACACATTTTTTCAGCGGCTGGTACTGTTCGACACAAAGGGAAAGTTGACTTTTGTAAAAATTGTGTTCAGGCTTGTCGTACACTCATGTGGCTACGTTATTGTGACTTATTGTATGCATACAGAGCAGGCTCGCTGACTTGGTTGATCCATGTCATCGTATCCCAATTGCGTGGATCGATGCACATGATATCAATCACTGGATTGTCTTATCCAGACTCGATTATTTACAGACCGCCGTCTTATAGCTGGAACATTGCTGAGTGCAGCGTTAAACAACAAACAAACAAAACAAACAAGGCATACATCTAGGATGCATAGAACAAATTCTATTAAAAAAGAAAAGCCTTTTGAAAAGCCTTAATTCCTACCGTTCAACTAAAGTTTTGTCTATATGTCCTTAAACCTCCAGTGAGCCTGTTCTCTCTATACCTCTTAAAAATTCCCGGAACAAAATGTTAAATCCTAGCGATGTTATTAAATAATGACTTCATTATGTTTTGCGTTTATTGAGGTATAGATTTCTGGATTTTAATCGAAACTTGAGAAAAAGTAGTTTTGCCTGTGTCGTATTACTCAAATCGATCTTTTGTGTTTTACAGGTCCGGTCTGACAGAATACGAAGAAACGGCTTCAAGATATTATGTTTGCACAGTAATCACTGAGTAAGAGGGATCTACAAAACTGAAAATGCCTTTATTTCTGACAGAATACGAAGAAACGGCTTCAAGATATTATGTTTGCACAGTAATCACTGAGTAAGAGGGACCTACAAAGCTGAAAATGCCTTTGTTTCTGACAGAATACGAAGAAACGGCTTCAAAATATGTTTGCACAGTAATCACTGAGTAAGAGGGATCTACAAAACTGAAAATTCTTTTTTGTCTGACAGAATACGAGAATATTTCTGTGAACGGGTTTAAGATGTGGTTGCACTTTCAAAGTGGGAGAGGGATCTACAAAGCTGAAAATGCTTTTGTGTAAATACTGGTGTTTGAAAGTTAATTAATGGAGATGAATCAAAATGGTATCAGGTATATTCTTTGAAGACATTTGAATCTCGGAGGGCCAAAGACGATTTGTCTGGCAATGGGTATTTTATACTTAGTATAGTGTAATAGTTCATTTTATGTTGATTTCATGTGGTACCTCCATTGTTTAACCCAGCCCAAATTTTGGGGACCCTCTCTGGGGGTGTCTGGCAGGCCTTATGCAGAGGAAGATTTGTCTGGCGTGGCCCATTCTGAACTCTGAGATGAACCAGTTCATTTACACTTACTTTCATATGGTACCTCCAATGTTTGATCCAGCGCTTGAATGGTCCTTTCTTTTGGGGGGGGCAGGGGCCACACGCAGCAGGGGATCCCCGGCAGACATCCATATATGAATATGTTGGGTTACACAGTAAATGTTCCGGTGTTCGGATATTGGTACCTTGTTCGTTTGACCAAAGTGCTCTGGGCTGCCGGTCTAATGTGTTTGATGTTGCGGATTGGAAAATGAAATTGCTGAAGTAATATCAGCACACTGCAGCATGGCACGATGAGGAACATATTTCTCAGATTAGACAAATTATTAGAATTTCATTCTGGGCAACATTCCTCAAACCACTGCTTAGAGTCACCGTTCCTACTTGTGCCAGAAACCTATGATCAAAGAGTTTGAATCCCAGATTTGCCCTGATTTTTTCTAGGTTTGTCAGCAAACTGACTTGTGCTACTCGGTGCAACCAAAGTGGTAAACACCCAAGACATGCATCACTTTGAACTTTCCTCCAAATTCAGCTGACAGCACATATTAAAGGTGAATCCTGAAGAAATATTTTGAAAATAAAAATAGAAAAGAGTCTCTTTTTTCAAGAATCTGTGGCAAAAACACTTCAGCGTACAGGTCCCAACACCTTTGTGTACACCTGAATGTAAATTCCATTGGTAATTCTATATACTGGTATAATCAACAGACAAGAATTTGAATTTCTTCACTTTTTTATTATTTTTTTTTGTACAACCACGTTATGCCATAAGCACACAAGCTCCTCCGACCTTCTTGATCTTGGTCTCTGCAGACTTGCTGAAGAACTTGGCCTTGACAATAACAGGCTGCTTAGGCAGTACTCCTTTTCCTAGAACTTTGAAGTAACCCTGTCAACAGAATCGGTAAGTAAATCAGTAAGTAAGAGAGTAACATACAAAGTCAACAGCATTCCAACTCCACGCAATTATTACATCCTTGAGTACCCATTGTATTAAATCTCATCATTTGGCAATTAGTTCGAACAACTATATAAATAGCCATCCAATATACTGGATCCATACTGCCAACTTTACCTTATTACAATTAGTATCTTGTTATGATTTTATGTGGACAATATGAACCATCTACAGTACAATAAAGCCTTATGATTACAAAACTCAGTTGATAATTTTATCGTTTAGGCTAAAAAAATAATAGTCTTGGTTCTTGGACACCACCTGCATCATCATAAAGTCTGCCAACATAAAGATCCTAATACTTAAACAGTTACACAATGCACAAAAAAAATTGAAAATAGAAACAAACGAAACGTGCAATGAACTTTATGATGTGGACAGTGCCTGAGAACCAAAACTATTGTTTTTTCCTATTTTTACTACAATAAGTTCTGATAATATAAGGGGAGCTCGGGTAGCCCAGTGGCTCGTCACACCGAAGACCTGGGTTCGATTCCCGGCATGGGAACAATGTGTGAAGCCCATTTCTGGTGTTCCCTGACGTGATATTGCTGGAATATTGCTAAAAGTGTCGTTATACCATACTAACTCTGATAATATGAGTTTCTCCATTTATCAGATGCAACACAATAAATGCACTTCATACCAGTTGATATGTCCTGGAAAATATCCCCCCCTCCCCCTACCATAGATTGACATATTATTCATATGAATAAAGGAAGAAAACATATTTTAGTTGCAAATACCAAACGTTTGGGACAGTTGGTATCTATGCCACCAAGTTACCATGCTTCAGTTTCTAATGCATACCCAACTCAGACACAGTATGCCGACTGAGTTGACTACTCCTTGTTCAAACCCCTAAATATCCATTACCAGGCAGGGTAGCAACAAGTACAATATTTTCATGTCTTCTGGTATCGAACCGAATTTCCGCTCTCCGAGCAACATATCAACTATATATTTGAAATTCCATTAGAAATAATAAACTTACAGCACGAACAACATCGATGACAGGAGCCACATCTTTCTTGGTCTGGTAGCGCTCTCGTGTCTGTTCTGACACCAGGGACCACAGCTTGTCCAGGTTTATGGTTGGGCAGTAGAACTTCTGGTTGGTCTTGTGGAAGTACCTCATACCAACCTTTCCAAAGTAACCTGGATGGCTGGAAAATATATCCTCAAATATAGTTGTGTACATACAAGAACTTTCAATAATTGCATGACCATGTAACAGCATTCATCATGTTCACATCAATTTCCATGTAATGCTGAACTGAGGAATATTCCACATATTTGATGGTGGCCTGTACTAAAAGAGTAATCCAGTGGGGTTTCGATGCAATATGTATCTCAATACCATGGGTGAGATATGATTTGTAACCTGATACAATACTATTATTTCACAAGTTAATAATAGTCTTTCATTTTGCAGGTGAATAACAAGCCCCAAACATTTGTTGATAAATTCCAGAGATAAAAGACTGGATATTGCAGGGAAGAAATATATTAGCTAGAGGGCACTGTGAATGTTATTCTTTTAATGTTCAACCATGAAATACTAGAGAATCTGCATAAGCTGGTGGTTGAACAATTTGTTATTATTCACGTTTTCACACCAATAGAACTTGTAATGAATGTATCGTGCATTTCGTGATACAGAGAGTGAGTATGGTTTTGTGCCGCTTTATCGCGATACAGCGATAAAAATAGATATATGATGTATCGCAGGTCTCTTTTAGCGATACAATACTGTATCATTACACCACTTATGGTTAAAATGGCAATGGCCAGTTAAAATATGTTCCCAGTGCCTGATGGTTACATTTTTTAAATAATACAAAAGTACCTTGTGACAATGGTTGTTAAATGAATCCAGTGATAAATGTACTTAGGGACAAACGCATGGAAAATTATGAATATGTGACCATGCTTAATGCACAGTATGATGCAAAAATTAAAGTAAGGGCATTATCAATCTCGATCAATAGGAAGCGAGCAATCTTTCTAAACTATGACTGCTTATTATCTAGCCTTAGTGAAAAGACATTCAAGAAGTTAGACGATGCAACCCTCCAAGTAGTGACCTGTATGTATTGTTTAGTTGCCACTTGTCTCCCATAAACAAAATTAGCTTGGACAATAAAATATTTCACATGTTGTAAAAAAAAACTGGAGTAGAAGATCGCTTGTCGGTATCAACATGACTTCCCTGTTTAGGGAGTAGCTTAACGCCTCACATTGCTACTGAAGCCATTCTACTGATGCTATCATCTGTAATGCTACAAGTTTATGTATTTCTGGTCATGTGCACATTTCTCAGTTTACTTTCACAATGGTGTCATATTTGCTATTTTTTTCAAGAGCCATAACTAAGTCCAACTGTCCCATACAGAACCGTACCACACAGAATGTTAACATGAATGACATAACTATGGCTAATACTGCCAGCAGTCCTCCTAAAAGGCATTTATTTGATGCAGATCTTAGTGGGCTTAGTGGAATCAGAGAATTCAGCATTGGGATGTGAAGCGACCGAGATTACTTATCTGCTATGAATGTATCGGATAGTAATAAATGAATTGGACTTCCAAGCGAATGCATAAAACATTGGAATAAACATGATAAAGTGAAAAGGCAGCAACAGTATTGTTTCAGGTAATTGGCTGAATGATTTCCAGTGACTGTCCTTGGACAAGGGTAATTGTTCAAAGACTTGTTTTTATTCCAGCAAGTTTCCAAACTTTGTTGTTCAGACACATTAGAACAGTTGGAATTTTTTCCATCTTGTCTTGTCGTATTTCATTTCTAAGGTAAATTCTTTGTATGCCTAAATCAATGTGGTTCCAAAAATTTAAATGTGGCTCCTTCAAGTTCAAAATGGCACCCAGGAAAAATATTACCAAGAGCAAAGTGGCTCACAGGAAAAAATCTAAGCTTTGACTGCTGAGACTGATCAAAACTATTCATCTAGTTGGCACACTTACATGCTAAAGGGCACACAAACATTTCACAAGGATTTTTAGCAGACGTAACATTTGTATAATATCCACTTACCTATGTCAATTTTATTTTCAATGTTTACGTAATATAAAAATTATTTATAAAAAGAATTTTCAATTTTATCTGGCATCACCCATTTCCTAATAACAGTGGCTTTCTGTTCAGTAACATGAGATAATACTGATAAACACCTCCATTTTTAAGCTTTGTATGAACAACACGTGCGACTATACCATGTATACCTGATCTTCAGTATCATTAGAAAGCTAATTACTTCAATAATATGACAGTAACCTCCCTGGTGTATTTTCGAAGCTGTAACATGATATTATAGGATAGAAATGTGTTTCCAATTATGCTTTCTTGTTTAAATCTGCTACAATGATCATGATTGGTCAAATTCAAGCATGTGACCGTAGGCAGTCAATCAAATTACAGCAATGGATACCACGTATGATACATTTCAGATTCAGACGAATGGTTTTGGTTAAAATGTGTTATTGTGAATGTTTTATGCAGGAAATAGTGATCTATATTAAAAATATGCAAATTTGTGGACGTATCCTGATAGGTTACAAGCTGACAAAGATTTCTCATGCATATATTTTGCATTAAACAGTGTCCGAACCTTAAAGTCAAGGAAAACGAAAGCTGATACGTCATTTGACTTACATTACACACTGTCACACAAAAAGATGGAAATAATAAATTATCCAACAACTTTTAGATATATTTTTGTTGATAGCATTTGACTTAATATAATTTATAAAAGTTTTGGTTGAAACATCTATATTTTGCACTTTCGAAATGTCAACATGGACCTGTTGTCGAAGCATGAGTCCGAGAATATATTTCTTCAATAACATTGTGGGAAATAGTTCATAAATTTTTAATCTATCGATAGAATATGATTTATTGAAATGACAAACGTGTGTCAGACATTGTGAAAAGTGATAGATTTATAAATGAATTTGACAGGTATCATAAAAATATATACTATTTTGACGTGGCTACATCCCCTGTAGAAGTTCAGGCGACAGGTGCATTAACAATATGCTCCCACTTGATGTTATACATGAAAATATTTTGTGAAAAGTAACCGTAAAGACTTGTAATGTTGGAGAGGACAAGGGCAATAAGCATAGTTTGGGCTCAAAAGCGTAATGGTTGGAATATCCATAATACATTTGTCGTCTCTTTAGACAAGCACATTTTGCTGGGAACTAATTCTAACCCAGAATACACACCTGGGATCCATGTACATCAAGAAATAAGACAAGTGTTTGCATTATATGAGAGCCGAATGTGCCAAAATAATTCCAGAAGGAGCATGTGAAATTAAACAGTTGAAAATCTTTGTGTCAAACTCATGGGGGGAACCTTGAAATTTGTTTACAGTTATATAGGGTTCAAGAAAATCACCAAAGAAAATTTTTTGAAAGCGAACATATTACATAAATTTCAGTGACCAGGTTGCTGGTAGTAAAGGGGGAGGCAACTCATGGATATCATCGATCTCCCCCTTTGGATTGGCATCATTGTTTTAGTCATACCTTGTAAAATAAATTCATTAACAATGTTGATCTGTTTTACTCATTTCTCAAATTTCAAGTGAGAACACTTGGTTATTTGCTATGGGTGTGTATACAGTATTCAGTACAGTATACAGTTATCAGCTTGCATCACTGTTGTAAGGTGTGCTTGTCAATAAGGCGTGTTAGGACACTGGCATCTGTTTGACAGCATCCAGCCTTTGATGTGTCAATAGCAGTGAAATAAGTCAATTGTATGTGAAATGAGTTGATAGTTTGGTGGGTGTGTACACGTTACTTTTTTATTTTTAACTGTCATTAGGTGACTTTTAGGCTCAATTTGGATTCTTCGAATTCCCAAATGAGTTCGAGACAACCAGGAATTCAACACATCCAAGTTCAACACGAGGTTCGACTATGTACATCCCGTGTATATATTTACAAATCTACAATCTGGGCAATGTTTCAGAATAGATGGGACTCGTGTGAGGCATCCCCTTGTTCATCTACACGATCTGGTCATCAGCATCGACCCACATGGTTATATCTGCTTTTCATATTCATAGTTCAGTGAATCTACAACACTACTACTTACTATTTATCAAAGTTAATTCTGTGATGATGTTGTCCACCTGCGTTTCCACGACCTCCAGGATGCTTTCTGTGTTTGCCTGTAACATCAAATATCTAGTCATTTGCAAATATGAAATTTGCACATATACTTCAAATCACTTCACTGATTATTCACATCTGTGACCTTAGACACAAGTCTGAAAGTTGAATCAAGTAAAATCTGACAAAAGTCAAGTGCAGGGATGTTAGCAGGTTTTCCCGAAAAAAAAGAGGAAAAGTCTAGGGGGGTCTTTTTAAACATTTGATTGCATTTTAAGCAATTTTGTGCAGTTTGGACATGATTCACACCAAGAAATGTAATAAGTCAATGGCAAAAGTCAATAATTCAAATAAACAAGATGGCAGATGCAGTAAAATTTCGAAGTTTAATCAGTACTTTTAAAAAATCGGGCATAGCTTTCGCACACCTGGCTACCCGCCAGGTCTGGGAGCAATACTGAAGTGAAACAGATGCTGAAAGGTAAACATAAGTACTGGTCAGTAGGTGCAAAGACTGCCTGCTAAACATGCTTAGGAGGTACATCGCTGATACAGTTTGATGGGTGCAATTGTTACAAAAGTGCAGACAAAAATCGAAACTCACCGATACGTCCATGTCCATGACTCACGTGGCCTCTAAGCTTCCTGGTCTTCTTCTTCGAGGTGGTCTAGAATAGAAATTAAGTTGTTCACTTTTCTAACATGGAATATTTCAGTTCACTGTTGTATGATGGAGGGACTGTAAACATCCGAGTCTGGGCAAATCTGACTAAGAATGTTACAGTTGGTTGGTTGGTTTTACACCGCACTCAGCAATATTCCAGCTATAAGAAGGCGGTCTGTAAATAATCGGGTCTGGACCAGACAATCTAGTGATTGATATCATGATCATCGATCCAAGCAATTTGGATTGATGACATGCTTCAACCAAGTCAGCGAGCCTGACCACCCGATCCCGTTAGTCGCCTCTTACGACAAGCATTGGTTGTCGAAGACCTATTCTACCCCGGATATTCATGGGTCAAGAATTTTACAGAGATGAATTTGTGTACATATTAGTGACCAGTAATGGTTGGACAGTAAAAGGGGAGCATTACAAAATGGTACATAACTTCAATTTCAGAGCTTCTGACAAATGAACCTAACAAGAGACCATGCTTCAACATATTCAATGTCTGATACAGATCCGGGGTAGAATAGGTCTTCAGCAACCCATGCTTGCCATAAAAAGTGACCATGCTTGTCATAAGAGGCGACTAAAGGGATCGGGTGGTCAGGCTCGCTGACTTGATTGATGCTCATGTTGTCAATCACTGGATTGTCTGGTCCAGATACGACTATATACAGACAAGCGACATATAGCTGAAATATTGCTCGGTGCAGTGTTAAAAAACATACAAACCAAAAAACTAACAGTTTTTGTCCACTAGTCCTTATAATGATAACATATAGCAAAACACTTAAAATGGGCCAATTTCTACTAGTCCTTGGGATACCTTTACTATTGGGCAGTTTGGTAAGGACTACAGGACTAGTGCCAATTTATAACGCTGGGGATACGAGCGGAAGTCTTTCCAAACATTGTTTCTGTATGATAAAGGGGTAGACACCTTTGGTAATAATATCCAAGTTATCTGCAGTTCATTTCTGACTATGGCTATTGAAAAAAACTATTTCACAAGTCCCTTTACATTTGCACAAGTCACGGACGAAAACGATCGGTGAACGTGCCTATCCGTGAATCGGTTAATTAATAGTTAGATTAATATACACCCAATGTGATAGAAATTTATCAGATCTGAAACCGTCTTGCAAGAATACTGATCCATCCTCAAGGGATAATCGCTCGCACGAAAATGCAAAATGTTAACAACCGTCTACAATAAATGCCATGTGACTGAAACCCATAATTTCTAAAACGTATTTCATTCTATGACACTCGATTTGTGTAGGTACCTATACTGTTAATATGCCGAAAATGTGTGTTTTAGCGAGTACACACACCAGTCACATCAAAAATACAGTTCAAATGTAAACAATAAGCATAAAATATATCAGCTATATGAATAAACGACTTTTATTTTATCGCACAATGCCCTTGATTATATTTTCAAGTGCCAGATTAAACCGCTTAGGGTCGATTTAATTTCAGTCAAGCCAACGCTGACATACCATGATGGTGGATCAGTGAAAGAGGACGGAAGCGGAAATGGCTATGCTAATGTGATATTTTCCAAACAGCTAGCTAAAATAGTTAAATAATCGGACGAGCGTCGTGTGACTCTCAGGTGGTATCAGTGTGGTTCGTAAATATTGTTTGTTCTGTGTGCTTGTTGTTTAACGCCGCACTCAGCAATATTCCAGCTGTATGATGGCGGTCTGTAAATAATTTAGTCTGGACCAGACAATCCAGTTATTGATGTCATGAGCATCGATCCACGCATCAACCAAGTCAGCGAGCCTGACCGCCCGATCTCGTTAGTCTCCTCGTACGACAAGCATGAGTTTGCTGAAGACCTATTTTAACCCGGATCTTCACGGGTCGGTTCGTAATGTTTCAGTTCTAACATATGTATACAAATAGCATAAAAGATAAATACACAACAGTCACTGTCGATATAATAATAGTATGTTAATACTTTTACTTTTACCTACCGCATATGTTATTTTTAAAAATAAGTAATAGTAATAGTCATATCATTCACGTCATTATCAACAATTTGTATTTTTTTAAAACAGTAATTGTAAACTTCTGTGCTAAAAGATTTTCATGGACCCCGACTTCCTTCTTTGTTATTTGAGGACACGGGTGGCCCAGTCGTCTGGAGCAAAGCAATTACCTGTGCAGAGTTACGTACCCTGGGAACGCCAGAAACCTACGATTGTTGGTTCGAATACCGGTTCGCCCCGATTATGTGTCTATGATTGTCAGCACCATACCCGTGCTCGTTGGTTTGGCCAAAGTGGTAAACACCATGGAAGAAATCACCAAGACTAACCATTTCAATGATTAGACACCAGGTTCCCGTGCTATAACCTAAACTAAGACGAATTTGAAACCAATGTATTCATTCTTAACGGAAGTCTGTTAATTGATGAGAGTCCAATCAAAATGGCTAAAATATTATTCAAATAACGGCTACTCGTTTATGACTCCAATGATTGTCAGTACATTTATGACTCCAATGATTGTCAGTACGTGTATGACTCCAATGATTGTCAGTACGTGTATGACTCCATTGATTGTCAGTACGTGTATGGTTCCAATGATTGTCAGTACGTGTATGACTCAAATGATTGTCAGTACGTGTATGACTCCAATGATTGTCAGTACGTGTATGACTCCAATGATTGCCAGTACGTTCATAACACTAATGATTGCTAATACGCTTATGGATCCAATGTTATTTTCGTATATAAAGAGGATGTTCTTTTCAACGCTTTCATTGTTTCCTTATTGCCGATTAATGTATATTCATTTTTTCTAACAATGTTACCAAGTGATTATTACAAAGGCATCGCTGTAAGCCGTTTGCCCATGTTATTACTGGTGACGGTGACATTCCCTCAAATATTGCATTTGGGAAAGTATGGCACGTTTTTGAAAAGCGTCTTTTTCTCGAGAAAGACACTACCTGCGTTTTGGTATCCATGTCTTTGAAGTTCGTGAAATGCAAACGTTGTGCTTCTTAAGTTGTAATTAAACAAGCGTTGTGTGAAAGAGCGGTGTGTGTACTTATGACATTCATGTATATTAGTATACTACACTCATTACATTCATTATCCACAAAAAAATATGAATATGAACTGTGAGCAAAACAAATAATGTCATTGTGCGTGTGGCAGAAAAACTACTTTTTTCAACAATGTGAAAACCGTGACCAGGGAACCTATCTATCTAGTTATTATTGCTTTGTTCGTTGTCGGTGCCAATTATCTAGCTGGCTTCCATTTGTCCTTTGCTATTTCTATTATTTTATCTATCAGTGCTAATTACCTCCATCCTCCCGTTTGTCCATTGTTCCTTTGCCAATTACCAATCAGCGATAATTTAGTGCTGGTTTCCTTGTCCATAACTACCACCGCTAATTACTATAAAGTGTTGGCTTCCATTGTCTATTGCTAATCACCTTTCAGCGCCAATTATCTGTTGGCTTACCTTGTTAAGTTTCCACCTTTTATTATCTCATTACTTTTGTTGTTCTTACATGCACATATATATGCTCTCTGCCGCATGCCATACCTGCTGAAGGAGTTAGCATATACACCGAAACGTTGTGTTCCTCATAATAAAAAAGCTGACATCAATAAATCATCTTCCTTATGTGTATCACTGCTAAATGCTTTTCAAAGACATGAATGTGAAACATGATTATTTTTATTATTTTTACTTATTTTTTTCTATAAAATCCTTAATTACTGTCGTTATTTCGTGAACGCACCATTTGCAATCTCTAAGAACTCACTGTTAGTTTAAGACGAATAAGTAAAAACTAGGTGGGTAAATTCTTTTTGTTTATTCTTCCAACAGACGACCGTATTAACTGTTCATCGTTGTTAGGAAAATCTATGGAGCTACCGGAAGTTTACGGAATCACTCGATTAAGACCGGAAGTTATCGAAATGTTGACAGATGTCTGTATGGTGGTGGAACCCGAGTGAATGAAGGAAGTAGATTGCACTTCGGATTGCTATGGCTCAAGGAGGAAGGGATGTGCTGATCGCTTGTCTGTGTAGGTTGTCATTTGATATTCTTAAACAATGTCACTTCCTATATCTAGCATTACAATTCTACGCTCTGAAAACCCAATTTCTCATCCCGGTGTCCAAAAAATCCGAATGAGACTAATCAGTATCAGGCCCCTGTATTGAACAGTTGACGACCAACATGTCACTAAAATTTGCTATTAGCTTTGATTTGTCAACCTCTGGTCATGAAGACAGGGTAGATTGAAAAATAAATACTGTGCTGGTACCAATCTTTATTTCCTGCAGGGAATTATATATTCTAATACAAATAATCAATAACTTGTGCTATGAACGCTGGCACTTGACAGGGGTGATTGACAAGAGTATGTACAACTCTTTTAGGGGGTAGTATTTTAAAGGTAAGACTGCATTATCCGGGCTCAGCCTTCAGTTCAGTGTGTTTTCTGGGAAACTGACTGAATGCCATACATAATTTCCAAAGATTAGGTGTGAAATGTAAGTGTTTAATGTAATGTCTTGTACTAGTCTCTACTAATACTGGTATTGTTTTGCTAGCTCACTGAGATACCATGCAACAGTTTAACATGGATACCCCACTCAGAGATAGTACGTGCTATAGTGACCAGTTATCACCGAGGACAAATTATCGCCAATGGCCCGTTATGGAGCACACATGATCGCATCTCGTTTCACTTTTGCCCGTTTTCATTAGAAGAGACAGAGCTCCAGATAAGCTTTTGGTGTTGTGGGTATTTTACCCATGCATTTTAAAATCATTGGGTATCAGTAATTCTATCTGGGTATTCAAATTTCTGTTACCCACTAGTTTTTACACTTGTGGGTATTTAAGTTAAATATTTAAAATCACTATTCATCTAGTCCCTGCAAACTGGTGTCGTGTAGGTTCGAGAGCTTTATAGGACTAAAAAATACCACGATACTTCCACAAGAAAGTGTGATGGCAAATGATCATGATGTAACTGTCATCGTGGAGTTTGGCAAGGTTGACGGGATGCCTGTTTATAATTTCAAAATAAGTTCCTGATTTGCTAATCGAATGCGCAGGGTTACTTCACAAGTTTTATTTTTTTAGCGTATCTGTAATGTTCGTTGCCTATTTGATACACTTGGATTTTATTTTACTGCGTATTTCTGCATTTCTGATGCGTATTTTATGCAGATACGCAGCTTATCTGGAGCTCTGAAGAGAGAAATAGTTTACAAAATGATAAACAAAACTGACACTAGTTAGGAAATATTCAAATTACATCATATATTAGAGCACCAACTTTAAAAAAAGACTGTCACATGACATCCTTGTGTAAACAGAAATCCTACACCACGATGATGCACAAATAGTTCAGTCATCACATACTACCTGTCACTCATTTCTTCCCCCCAAAACAAATCTAAGACCTAATTTATCTATTTTTCCAAAAATGGATAACCTGTATATATCTATAGTGCAAAATCCATGGTACGTAGTGTTTTGGATAAGCATGTGCAGATTGAATTTTGTAAATATTGGTTCACATCAGTTGGCATACGACAAATTGATAAAGAAACATTTTAATTTTGATGGATAAACTAACTGAGTGTGATACCAGAGATAATTAAGAATGTACCTTTGATAACTGAAGCTGTGAGTGTGATCAAGTGACGTGCTGTTTAAACAATGGCGGGAAATGTACAGTGAGTCAACGGGAAAGTTCTATTTTCACTGTCACTGTTCTATTTCCTCTCGTCACTTTATAACAGAAATCTACTCAATCCTTTTCCACAGACAGAAAAAAAGCATATTTGCTCATAGTTTAAAATTTTTTTAATGTAATTGGTTCAATCAACTTTATACATGGAATATTTGAGAAGCATCATGAAAATAATGGAGATCACTGGTCGCTTTCCATTATGCTGACTTGGAAGCAACCAATCCTTGTTTTATCCTCTTCATGCCTAGCGACAGACACTGAACATGCTGAAGCAACAAGTACAGTCTTTTAATGTATTTTGGTATGATGCCGCCAGGTATCAAACCATCGACCTTCCACACTTCGCTCAGACGCTCTAGCCATTAGACCATGGAGGCAGACAATATCTTTAAGAGATTTTTTTCAAATTTTTTATGTTGGTAATAATATAGACATGATAGAGGAATAAAATCACAAAATTGTCCTTAAGTCATTTGTCTCTTGCAAAATCACTGGTAGGGTATCCATGTCTAACAATAATAGGTTTGTGTTATTATGAAGTCTTGTGGCGAAATGGACCATTCTTGTAGCTTGTAAATATTAAGTGTTATGCTGTTTTGAGATATTTTTATTTGACATAAAAAATGGTGGAGATCTGGAACACAGAACAGGAAACAGAACTAAATATTACATGTCATTGTATAATGAAAATGTACATAATCCTCCAGTTTGATGTCACATACAGTGTTCGAAATAGCTGCCTGCCTGCATCTTCCCAAGGCAAGTGAGTTAACTGACTATAAAAGTCCAGTTTCCAGTCTTGCCAAACTAGGCTGCAATTATT